CTATGCTTTTCGTGTTTGACACGCAATTTGCCTATCAATAGCTATTATATTCCTATGTGCAGATCCAGTCCATGCAACTATATGTGGAAGTAATAGTCATTTATCAGACTGCATGTTCCTCTTTCATTGTAGGCATTGATTTCTCCCTCGTTTCATCGTTGGTTTTAATTTCTACGTTGATATGTTTATTGCTACTACAAGATGTCTTCTTGACGTTACACAAATGCATTTCCGATTCTAAGAAGTACAAACAAATACAAGACCGACTTTCGACATGGAATCGTCCCACACACGACCACAACAAAAGGTAGGAAAACCATGTTACTGTCTTGGAAGAGGTAGTGGTCGTTTTTTTGAAGGAAGTGTATGGGAAATCTTGAGTCGGTTTGGAAACGATTTCATCATTTCAGGTACGAAGTTGGTCCGACAGAAATTTGCCCAGTCGTCCAAGACATTGAAACGACAAGCAGACATGATGGCTCCGCCGGCTGTGAAGTGGAGATGTCAAGAGATACTGGGAGAACGGTTGACTCTGGCTCACCTGGACAGATGGACGCCCAGCAGTCAAAACGAAGTAAGTGTGCCAATCACTTACAGTCAGCATTGAATCGTCCACGCTGTAATTGCACTCCTTGAATTGTATTTTTCTCCTGAACTAGAACACACTGTGAAACAAACACGAAAATATACACCCAAACTCTATACTATTGAAGAAGTTTCAAAAGAGCAGGAGGAGGAAGAAGAAGAGGAGTATTTTGAGAATGAGGATGTTGAGGAAGGAGAATATGAAGAAGACGAAGATGAAATTGAAACGATGAGAAATGACGGACTCAGCGAGGAAAGCAAGGAGGAGCAATTGAAGGCCGAGAAAGTGGAGGAGGAGGAGGAGAAGAAGAGAGAGTGCGAGGTGGCGGAGAGTGAGGAGCAGGTGGAAGCAGGGCGGGTGTTGGTTGAGGAAGATGGGGGGGTAGTCGGAGAAACAGTTGAGGATACGAGGTAAAATGTGGACGAGAATGTAAAAAAGGCCGAGGAAACTAAAGAGATGACGGCGTCGAAACGGGATGCCATGCTCTACGGTCAACAATTCTCCAAGATACTGGACGTATCACATAGGAAAATGCAAACCGAATCAACGCTTGCCAACACAACAGCCAGACATGAAGGGTATGGAGCAACCACAACTTCCGGGGACGTTTTGCAGCACTTAACGAGAGCTGAGAATTGGGCCATGAGACGGCAGGTTGGTCAGTGGAGAAACGTTTGCGCATCGGCAGGTTGGTTCTTGATTCCTTTGCTGTCATGCAAGTGTCCTTCATGATTTGCCTGAGTCTTTTTGTTGGTCTCTAGTGCAATCGAATTTTCAAATCTCAATTTTAGAATCAAATTGTCTGCTCGACCATAGGAGACGTCGATCCATTGGACGACGTCTACGTCATGTTTGGAGAAGGTTTGTCTGTTGTGGAGTGCCGCAGGATGACGAATAAAACCTTTCCATCTGGAACCAAGCGAACGTTCTTACCCCTGTAATTTCTCACGCATCACTGTAAAATATACTGATTATTGTTTGTTCAATGAATCTTGTTTTCGCACACTTATTGGGCAATAGTCTGTGTTGGTGGGCATCCGTGTGCACAGAAGGGCTGGGTGTGGCATGTGAATGGCAGAGGACATGAAAGGTCTACTTTCGTTTACAAATGGGCATAATTTGCAAATTCATAAGGAGAAGGGCCTGCAGACGGTACTACCTCTTAGTCGCCCAGATGTTTTCTCGATGTCCGACCGTCCATGGCGTTGTTCGATCGGCTAATGGTTTCATTCTTGGTTATCCCTTGGTCTGAGTGAATTCACAATAGTGTTGCCGTTCAACACATGTGTTGCTGCAGTGTGCTTCGGTGTGCTTAATCTATTTGGAAATGAGCATGGATACAGCTGCGTTTGTGATTGAGGAGTTGAATGCTGCTGAAGTGAAGCATTTTTCTGGTTATGACGGCTTTTAGACGCCGTTTAAAGCAAACTATAGACATGCTGCCATTAACTGGAACCCCAGCAGTTGTCCATTAATTGCGTTGCAACGATGGAGACTGCAACTACTTTGGGGAAAGGGGGCGGAAATTGCAGAACCGCATACATGAGCACAATTCGGCAAGTCAGAGACTAGGCTTAAACTCACAGCTCGCGGCTCATACTGGAGAAAATAGTCAGATTTTTGACATTCAAGGAGCAACCACCATAAGCCTGGACACCTCAAGGACAGAGAGTGTCATATTTAAAACTTGGCACTCAGATGCCCACTCCATAAGCAGGAATCGAGACTTTCCTGCAGCCTATAGAGTCCTGCGTCACTTCATAGGCCATGCGAGGACAAGACAGCCACAGAGAGCTCAGGAAAACCGAGCAAACGCGGTCCATCAACCAATTTACCTACAAAAGGAACACAAAGGCAGCCGACCAAAATTGAGGTGACAAACCACAACACAGGAGGCCAACAACATTCACAAACGGCAGGCAGAGGACCGAGATAAGTTGATCAGATCAACGCCAACTTATTGGGCCGTTTATTTGAAATTGTGGTTAATTTTCGCACGGACACGTCAGAAATGCAATAGCCTTGATCCGATGTGCCCTTCAATTTTTTTAAAATTATCGACCCGGATCTCTTTCGTTGGCCAAAATGGTGTAAATCATACAGGTGTGAAACAAATCTGCCAAACGCTGAGCGGCTTTTTAATTCGACAAAAGTGATGTTAACATTCGCAAAATGCGACGGTTAAGCGTTTAGAACAGAAAATACAAGCATCTCGACACCGTAAGAGAAAACATATGTAGTCATCTACAAATGGAAGCAAATATGCGAGTTACAGAAAGCCGGTCAGAATAACAGGAAGAAGATGTAACAATACATCTGTTTTTTCCTGAAGTTTCTGATTCTTACTTGAACCCATCATCAGAGACTTCTGTGGGTAAATGAAGTGGAGGCACAAAGACTGCAGTATATGAAGCACGCTGTTGCTACGGGACCACGTGAGTAATATAGTAAACAGTTCTCGCGATCAGTCTGGGTGCCCTAATTGAAGCAATGAATGCTTGTCAGGCCTGCAATCCGTCCACAAACGTAATGTTCTCCCGGTACGTATTCGCAATCATCAATGGCAGTCTATAATTATAAATATTTGGGACTTCATTAAGGAACACGAAAAACTAATTAAGCGTCCACGGCGCATAAAGGACAGTAGAGATTAAGGGGTTTGATATTAAGCTTTCCGTCTATTAAATAGCAAATAATGTTGTGTCCCCAAAATTCTTGTTTTACAGAACTACTACTCAAATGTTTCGCGTGACTGATCTTTTTCGTGGAAAATATGAAACATATATGTGGCCGACTTTTCTATCGATATCAGTATTTGAGCATAAAAGTTGACAATATTAAAGGATGCTCGATCACACATCATATGCATAAAACCACTTAGCAATTTACCCAATAAGGCAGAAGCCTTGACCGAGAGCACTCGACACGAAATCAGCAGCCCGTCTGGTTGGTCTATGAGATTACTCTTACGTCCCGCAGTATCCTGCTTACGAAAGCACACTCGCATAAAATCCTGCTCACCAATTTAATGCGTTTGACATCTTAAAATTCCGTCTTTTCTGCGAAAGTAGCCACAATTTATGCTCACACTCTAGGCCAGGGGCTCTGAAGCTTTTTTCCGCGGAAAATAAAATGCTATGATGACTGCCTTTGTGCCATTAGAATTTTCTTTTCCCACGGTGCCTAGTCTAGGTTAAACTGGCCTTTATTTTAATATCACATTGTCTATTGAATGTACGCCTCATTGTAGTCAAAAGCTCTTAGTCTAGCCTTCTGCGTTATTCGGTAAATTGCTAAGTGGTTTCCAGCTCAAGATGAGTGACAAGGCAAACTTCAATTCCGTAAATTTTCTGCCCAAATGTTAACATCGATAGATAAATCGGTCGCAATTCTTCTTCAAGTTTTGCAAATGAGAGATCAGTCACACGAAACATTTTGGTAATGCGTCTGCAAAACGAGAATTTTAGGAACGCAGCGTTATCCGCAATTAAATAGACGGGCATTTAATTGTCCAACCCCTTAATTTCATATTATAACGCCTGAAATCTCTACTGCCCTGTATGCGCTGTGGACGTATTATTAATTTTACGTGTTCCTTTATGAAGTCCCAAGCATTGTAAATTAGATGCTGCCTTTGATGAATATAAATAAGTTAAAGAAACTTCTTTAAGTCTTTTACTGGCCGAGGACTCAGAACAATTGTAATTTTGTTCGTAGGCTTCTGGCTTAACTGCTGAAAATGGGAAATTTTCAGTTAAGAAGTTTTTAAATGTCTTTCGACCAAGGATGAAACTCAGACGTAATAGGCATTTCAATCTTCGAATTGATATACAAACCTAAGCTTTTGTAAATCGTAGACTCCATAAGAACTTACAGGGAATACATCGGTATTGAACCGACAATCAAAAACTGTATGAGTCTTACAAGTTTCAATGCCATTGCTCTTCATAGTTTATCTTCAGATAAAAACACTTAGGTAAGATCTTGAAGCCGACAATGGATCATGTTTCTGCAATGTAGAATTCAATGTGCAGGACTGAAGAGAATACAACGGGGTCTATCCGAGAAAATAGTAAAATTTTGGGGTTGCACATGCAGCCTACAAATTGCAATAGCAGCAGTGTAATGGGGGGGAGTAATAGTGAAGAAAATGTAGAAGGAGTGAAAGAAGGAAGAGATTGCGAAAAAATAAGATGAGGAGGGATAGGAAAAACGAAGAGAAAGAAGCTAAGGAAGAAGAAGATGAAGAAGACAAAGAAGAAGAAGAGGGAGAGGCAGGATAAGTGGAACGTTGAGGAGGAAGGAGGGAGAGAGGAACCGGAAAACGGGAAGAGACCAGGAAGAGAAATAAGAAAGTGACGAAGTGGGCAGGAGGAAAGGGATAAGGAGCAGGAGGGAGAGGAGGAAGAAGAAGATGAAGAAGAAGAAGAAGAAGACGAAGAAGAAGAAGAAGAAGAAGAAGAAGAAGAAGAAGAAGAAGCGAAGCAGTGGTGTGTCGAAGTAATAGCGCTTGAAGCAAGGGTTGCGATTTCATAGAACGAACGCAAAAATCGGCCTTGGTAGCCGCACAGGCTGCTAAAAAAACCAGAAACTCCATCTATGCCGCCGTTACTCTCTGGTGTGACCACCTCCTCATTACCCTCTGACAACATACGGAATCCTATGAGAAGGATATTATACAGAAGTGAATTGGAAAGCTATCTCATGCGAGTGTGCTGCACCGAGACATACTATCTACAGCCGTCAGGCTTCATGACTTCGGCTCGACACCGGATGCGGACGGTGTATTAGGCGAGACATGTAAGACAGTTTTACATTTCCGACACAATTCCTGTGATCGTGGTCGGCGTATGCTCCGTCCCAGATAACTGAGTTCATTTTCCGTTAAGGGATATTTAGCCTTTCAACGAAAAGATTTCAATTTCTGTCGCGAGGGTGCACAATCAACGTAACTGAGCATATGATTATCACAACGGCGCATTGCAGCGCGCGAAGCGCTTGACGTCAAGGGAGACCACCAACATTCAAGAAACGACGGTTCGAGGGCCAAGTCAGTAAAAGAAGAAAAAATTTATCATCATAAGACAAAATAATTCGACCACTCATTCAAAATTCTGATTGATTTTTGCACTAAACACCTTGATATTTGGCAGCTGACCAAGCTGCTCGAAAATTCAGCAATGCAATACCCTTGATTCATATCGCACATCAGTGTTCACAGAATATCGACCCAGATCCCCTTCGATTAAGACGCAGGTATAATCTGTATACCGAACCCACAATTTAGCTCTGTCTCATCCGTCTTGTGTAGGATTGACTCCACTGGTGCAATCATCTTGGCAGGCTTGGCAACAGCTGCCTTAAATGAGGCCTCATGCCACAAAACCTGCATATGTTCCTCTGTCAGCTTCTTTGTGTACAGTCTCTCGACCAGTTTGTTGTTCTTAGATGACGTTGATGTAGGGACCTTACGAAATTTGTTCTCTAGTGTGACATTGTTTTCTCTCTTTATTCGCATTTATGTTCGTTCACACGCTTTTGAAGCAGTTTCGTATCGTTCTCGACCATGCACTCGCGCCATCTTTTCTTCTCTTGCTCAATAACTTGACAGTATTTGCGAAACCTTGAGTGATAGTCCTCAAGAAGCACTCGGATCCCTCGTCTGTCGTGCTGGAATACTGCACGTCGCGCCAGCTCTGTGTTAATCTAGGTTATGTAGGGAGCACACTTGGATAACACATTATTGTTGAGAAACCTATGCTGAAACCGAAGCTGCGCATATGTAGACGACTTCCGAAAGGTAAATCTTTCCACTGTCGAGCCGATCGGAGCACATCGGGTCCAAAATGATTGTCAATAAAGGAGAACAGGCAAGATCCAGGAAGCGGTTCAGATCTGGTGCAGGTGCAGACATAGCGTCAACATCGGAGAAAACGAGAGATTACTTTGTACGCGGATGGCTAAGCACGCCGCAGCAGTGACGACGAATGACGATAACTCACAGTTGACTGCTCATTCTGCTTCAAGCGGGCGAAATCCTTCCAAGGCGCGACAGCCGCGTTAGCCGGGAGCTGCCTAAATCATGTTTTACTGCCCCCTTGTCCATCAACAATTGCAACGAACGGAAAGTTGCTGCGGTCGCGAATGATTAACTATAGCAGGACTGTAGTATGGCAAGTGTGCAAAATAACCGCCAGAAAGCAATACGCGAGGTAGCCCTAGAGAGCAAACTTCGTAAGCTGCCTGCTCCAATATCATCCAAGAACGAGAAACTGGCGCCCAACGTGTTGTCAAAGGAGCTGACGGAGGATCAAATGCTGTTTTTACATCATGAGGCTTCATTCAACACAGCCGATGCCAAACCTGCCAACATGATTGCAGCAGTGGAATCAATCCTCTGCCAGGCGGGAGCGATAGACGAAACGAAAAATCTAATTCGACACCAAGTGTTCTCCCTCCTCATGGCTCACAGGCCACGCGACGTGCATTCCAAGGTCAAGCGCGGTGCACTTAAGGAACTGGGGCCGACAACGACATCGTTATCGTGCCTGCGGACAAGGGACGTTCAACAGTCGTATTGGACAGGACAGTCTACAATCAAAAAGCCGAAAGCTTGTTGTAGGGTCGTCGGTCCTACGTCCCATGCAAATCCAACCCCATAAAAACTCTGACATGCGAGATTAACGCGACGCTGTTGGCAATGGAGAACTCAGGTGCGATATCGCCAATCGACCGACGCATGGAGAGAGCACAAACTCGGCCCTAGCGCGATTCTACATTCTTCCAAAAGTGAACAAAGAGGGCACTCCTCTCCGGCCTATCGTATCACTAAAGGGCACTCCAACCCACGGACTGGCAAAGTGGCTGTTCCAACGTCTCAAGATTCTGACCTCCGATTCGAACACCATAGTCACCTCGTCAACGCAATTCTTGGAGAAACTTAAAGGAGTAAGTCTCCTGTCAAGCGATTTCATGGTTTCCTTTGATGTCACGTCCCTTTTTACTTCTATTACGCAGGATCTGACAGTCGTGGCCATCGAACAATTCCTACGAGCGAAAAACGACGAAACGGAGAATCGCCTCGGAAACGCCCAAATCACCCAGCTCCTGAAGTTCTGTCTCGACACGTACTTTACGTTTGACAGAAGAATCTACGAGCAGGTGAAGGGAACGCCAATGTGTTCGCCGATTTCGGGGCTCATAGCCGAGGCGGTCCTATAACGCCTGGATTCGCTGGTTTTCCGAAACCACAGTCCGAATTTCTGGGCTTGGTGTGTGGATGACACCTTTGTCGTCATCGAACGGGATCAGGTGCTGACATTCAAAGAACATCTCAACGCCGTCTTCCCGGACATTCAATTTACGATGGAGAGGGAGGAAAACAACCAGCTGGCCTTCCTGGATGTCCTCGTCTGCCGCAAAGATTGTGGTGGCCTAAAAAAACAAAGGGTTCAGGAAAGCTACAAATACGACGCAAATACTGCATTTCAATAGCGACCACCCGATCAGTCGCAAATACAGTTGTTTTAGGGCGTCGAATTTTATGACAAATGTGTATTTGCGCAACACTGGATGTATGTACGTACGAATCGAGAGGAGTGCCTAATCGCATCCTGGATCTAGACCTACGTCAAGACCTGCCCCACATTTGCTAACCGCTCTCTGCCGCACTCTTCCTGTAATTTACTTAGAACGCCAGACGGAGCGTAAATAAATATTTTCACGAGGAGAAGTGTCTGCAAAATTAATTAAGTAGTAGAGTTAACTCAGAATGGTTGCCCTGGACGTGGTTTATTGACCATATAAGGAACTGTAATATGTCATTAAAAGCGGCATTTGTGAAAAAGAAGCTCCAAATACAATAAAAAGACAAAATGCACGCGTACGAACTTTAAGTCACCTACTCCACAAAAGCATATCTACGAGCCTTATGAATCCAGCGCTCCAGTCAGTTATAATTCGCATCTCACAATGTACATGCTTCACCTAATAAATTCAGTAACTATCAACGAATATGAAATTTTGCAGATTTTTGCCAGACTGATAACAAGGGTGCTAGATAACCGCAACCGGGTCTCGCTGATGTTTTGCATACCCAGGCTTCTCCTTGTGCTTTTATGTGAACCCAAAGCGAATACTTCAATGATTATCTCTCCGTTAAACGTCAATTGGAAATAGAAGACGCAGGAGGGTAAGCAACTAAAATTTGACAAGAGCGTTGGCAGTATCTTTAGTACCCACAGATATTTTGTAGAAGAGAAAACTGCCGTCGATAACTGAACATAAAAAGATGACATCAAACATCTGCGTCCCCAAATCCATGCCAAGAATTTTGACAAATTTCCCACGAGATAAAACACGTTTTATGCCAGTATTAATCGAAGTCCACATGCAGAATAGTTAAAAAAACTGTTGCTTAGGGTAAGATGATGTAAGGTGACGATTTGCCACACTAAGTGATAGGGACACACGGTCAGGATCCTAATCTAAAATCCCCAGTGCGGTACACAAAGTACAGTTTCATTTCACCGGCTTTATACTAAAATGACATTTGTTATGGAAAATTCAGAAGCATACGCTTAGTATTTGGAAGCTATCTCGACAACAATCGCAGAAAAACTATTCATTCGCGAAGTAGAGCTTTCCCATTTAGAATTTGACTGACTGTCATTCATGTGCTTAGAGCCCGCGAATGTACATGAGGCTGGTTTAGCAATAAAATGCCCTACTTAGGATTAAAAAACAGCTAGGAAACCGAGTTTCTTCCCTTGGGTACGCAGGTACGAATTCCGCACTCCTACGCTTGCCAATCAACTTCGGCTTGTGCACGATCGATACCAGTCAGACATTCAAACGCAGCACACTCAGCACAGCAGACAATAGCGCGAATCTTTCGGCTCAGTGAACATCTGCTGATGACGCGTGTTAGCGTGCTTTTAGTTTGAAGCGTATTATCCAACATCCTTAACAATGCTACTATGCATTTCGTACTCTGCCTACAACAGGGTAAGCGCCTTCATTTGTATGCTTTTCCTCTGCCTATCAAAATTTAACTATCAGTAGTTCTAAGAGTCCTGTTCCATCCAGTTAAATGAGGAAACAGAGGTCGCTTAACAGAGTCCATGTACATTGCGGGCATCGATTTTACCTCCGTTACAATGGCTGCTCTAAGTTTTGCGTTGATTTTGTTATTAGAACTCCAGGATTTAACTTATAAGTTGTGCGAACGCAATTTGGTAACCAACAAATCCAGTTCAATAATTTAATAAATTTCTGCACGGAATTTCTACGAGTATGCCATTTCCAGAAATTTAGTTAACCCGGTTAACGGCTGGGCACTTATGCGTGCTAGGCAGATTTGTCGTCTTTTCCTAAAGGGTTATTTTATATCAGATGTGCCGTCAGATCGACAAGCGACTGTCAAATCGTGGAAGACAGCGAAGCAGTATGTACACCTGATTGTTATGGCGACTATGAAATTGAGGTGTTTACGTCTACTGAAATAAGTTAATCGATTTTGAATAGACGTCAAAACTGCCAGGCATTGCAGTTAAAAAACCTATTAAGAATTTTCCAAGCCATGAACCGCGTTCCTCCACTGACCAACATGCCGTCTCATTGTTCATTTCTCGACTCTCGTTAACTGCTGTGACACGTCTGCAGAATCTGCTACCGCTTCTTCTACTGTATACCTGCCTTGTGGGTTTGCAAGCACTCCTTCAAATTTTATAATATTCTGTGGAGCGTCGAATGGCTTAGCAGAGAAGAGCATCGTATCGTGCCTTGATTCCGTCATTTCCTTCGCTCTCTCCTCCTTCTTTTCCCCTTCGTCCACATTGTTTCGCGTCTCTCAAAGTTCTTCTTGGACTATTCTCTCTTCCTCCTCTCCCCAACCTGCTTCCACCTACTCCTCACTCGCCGCCACCTTGCGTTCGCTCTTCTCTTCCTCCCTCTCTTGCACTGCCTTCGACTTCCGTAGCTCCTCATTGTTTCCCCGCCAAGCTCATCACTTGTCGGCTGTTTACCCTCGTTCACGTCTTCTATGTCCTCAGCAGCTTTATCCTCCCCCTTCTCCTTCCTCCTCCTCCTCCTCCTCCTCCTCCACCTCATCCCCTGACACCTCCTCAATTGTGTAGAGTTTGTGCGTTCGTCGACAGTCATGGACCACAGCGTCACCTAATTTGCAGACAAAGACATAATTCGGCGTTTTCAACGATTAATTTCAAGTCATTGCTGACAACACGCGACAGGCTCACTTACTGATTTTCGGCTGTTCAGCGTCGCTCTGTCTTGAAGAGGTAGCTTCTAGTGATTTCTCAGCATATCTTGCCATCTCCATTTCGCAGCCGACGGACCCATTTGGAGTAATTCCCGGCTCGCTGCCTTCCTCCATTGGGCAGTCGCAGGTCGATCGAAAGGCATTCCTGAAATAAGGAAACCATTTACGCACAGACGCCAAATACGCCAAAAATTGCATTGAAGAAAACCTACGAGCAATATTCGAAGTCATGAACTTGATTAACTAACCTTGTCGAATCATCATAGTTGTAGGAATTCCGTGAGCATAATTGCAAGCGTATTGGATTGTGTTTATACAATTTGAGAATTAAATCGGGGAGATGTAATGAACAGATTAACGCAAAACTGAAAGTAACGAATGTAACGAGTGATAAATCGACGCCTGAAATAGAAAAAGAACATGGAGTCAGTTAAGCAACCTCTGTTCCCACATTCAACTTCATAGATTGGATCTGCCCATAGGAATCTTAAGCTACTGATAGGTAACTTTTATGAGCTGCATGATAGGTCTGAAGAAGGAAAGTGCTTACCTTGTTGGACGCTAATTATGAAATTCATCAGAGCATTTATCAGCGGGTAAGGCACATGATAAGAATTAAATAGAAATGTGCTTCCCGCATTGAAGGCGGTCTATGAAATGTATTTCATCGTATTTCTTTAAGATGGAATGTATTTGTAGAACTTGAATGATATATCTTGGTGTTGCAATAGACAAATCAACGTAGGACTTAAAACGAACGATGCAACGAGTGTGAAATCCATGCCTTAAATGGAAGAGGAGCTCGTAGTCTGTTAAACAACTACTGTTTCCACATATAATTGCATGGACTGGATCTGGGCACATGAATCCAAAATCTACTGATAGGTAACTTGTTTCAGAAAAACGAAAAGCATAAAAAGAGGAAAGTACCTACCACGTTGAAGGCAGGACATGAAATGCATAAGAGAAAATGGATAAAAGCTACGGATGAACAACACGAAAACAGGCGTCATCAGCCGATGTGCAGAGAGGCCAGACGTTCGCATTATTGATACAATTGCTGAATGTACTGGACTTTGACGACAGACTGCTATCGGTCGAGTTTAATCAGAAGTTTGTTGGTTACCAAAATGAAGGTGCTGAGGACGGAAAGGACGAGGGGAAAGCGAAAAGCTAAAATATGGTAGGCGGAACCGGAGGAAGTAGAGGAGGAGGAAGAGGAGGAGGAGGAGGAGGAGGAGGAGGAGGAGGAGGAGGAGAGTGTGCGAAGAGTGAGTGAGGAATCGAAGGAGATGGCGGATTCGAAGCCGGATGCGAAGGCCCACTGTCAGCGGTCTGCCAAGCTACTTGACGCTACACAGAAGAAGATGAAAACGAAAAGAATGCATGGAGAGTCGGCAATAACCTCCGGGGTTGTGTCAAATTAGTTATCGAGTGCAGAGGGGTGGACAATGAGGAGTCGTGCTGGTCAGTGGAGGAACGCGCATGCATCGTCAGGTTGGTCCATAATTATTCTGCAGTCACGAAAGTGTCATTCATGCACTTCTTTAGTCTTTTTGTTGATCTCTAGTGCGATTGCATTTTCAAATCTCAATTTTAGAATTAAGTAGCCTGCTCGACCAGAGGAAATGCAGGTTCATTTGGCGAAGCGTGCGACATGTTTGGAGACGGTTTGTCTGTTATGGAATGCTACACGTCGAGCAACAGTACCTTTCCAACTAGAACCAACTGATCCTTCTAACTCCTGTAATTAAACATGCATTTTTGTAAAATATTCCGATAACTGATTGTTCATTGAAAATTATTTTTACACACTTATTGGGTCATTTTCCCAATGCACGCGCGGGCATGTCATTGTTCGATCGGTTATTGGTTCCATTCTTACTTGGATCGGTACGTAAACGCCGACGACATTCGTCGGCAGCGGTCATTGACATTAGTAATAGATGCCAACTCTGATGCCCCCGGTAGGCTTCGAGGCGTAAGCCAGTTTACAGGATTTTGGAGAGAGTGGTCGCGAGTAAACAACATTGGTTTGTTCATCATTTGCCAGCTGACATAGATACGCAGGCACATGGTTGGAGGGAAATTTTGCTTTTAGGAAGATGGAAGTCCTTGGGACTGAGAATAAAATGTTCGTTTAATGAATCTGCATCAGTGCTTGTACTTGCAATTGATACGGCTGCGATCATGCCTGATCTAGCCGTCCTCGATAATGTCCCGAACTGTACCTCTCTACGCGTAACGATCCGCGGCAGCAGATCTGGACAACTCAACCCATTCCCTTCGCCAACGACGGAGACCGAAAACCGACGGTCCAAGAAGCACCTCCATGTCCTTACGAACTGTATCGAGCCAGGTTTTTAACTGAACCCTCTTCAACACCTCCAATGGGGCAACGGTGCCGGATGAAGGGCAGCAACACTGAGATCCTGAAATGGACGACCAAGAACATGTCCCAACCACTTTAGTCGTCTTTCTTGGATGGCCTGAGTTATCCTTGCGATGTTGTCGCAGCGAGTGCGGACTGTCTCATTTGAGACCAAGTCGGTGAACTTGACTGGAAGGATGGTCCTTAAGCAGTTGTGGTCAAATACCTCAAGTTTTCGCTCGTCCTCCACGCGCAAAGCCAGCATTCACAACCGTAGAGAAGAACAGCCGGACAGATGCACGGTAAACGCAAACCCTTGCAGCCTCGACCCAAGGTATTTAAAACTGTCTACGTTTTCAAGTTGACAGACATCAATCCCGAGGGGTGCCTTCTCCTGGTCAGAGATGCACCTTGAAAACACCTTGTTCTTCTCAGCGTTTCTGTATAAACCGACCGATTTAACGACCTCGTTCATCCGTAACAGAAGAGACTGCAGATCACCAAAACTTGAAGCAAGTAAGACGATATCATCGGCATAGTCGAGATCAGTCAGTCGATGTCCGGGTGCAAATTCAACGTCGTCACTGTCGCGTAGGGCGTTACCGAGGATCCTGTCAATAGCATAGTTGAACAGCATGGGTGACAGGATACAACCCTGTCGGATGCCGGAACGAATACCGAACAGTAAGGAAAGATTGTTGCGGACCAGGACACTTGCAGTAGTGGACCGATAATAGGCCTTGATCATTGCGACAATATTTGCCGGTACACCATCTAGCGCCATTATCCGCAACAGGGACACACGGTGAACGGAGTCGAACGCGGCGGCAAAGTCAATGAAGCAGACAGCCGTCGGTTGATGGTAGCTATGGCAAAGTTCGAGAATTCGCCTCAATGTAAATATATGGTCTGCGCATCCACGTCCAGCACGAAATCCGGCTTGGTTGGGCCTCGTCCTTGAGTCACGCACAGCCTGGAATCGCCTGAGTAGGACAATAACAAAGATCTTCGCAGCAACGTCGATGAGACTTATGCCGCGGTAGTTCTCGCATCTCGTATTATCTCCCTCCTTGACGATAGGTACAAGGATACCTAAGTCCCAGTCATCAGGAACAACCTCGTCTATCCACGCTCGTTCAATCATCTCATTAAGCCAGGGTGCCAGAGTGTCGACACAAGACTTAAAGATTTCAGCGGGTATACCGTCTTCTCCGGGTGCCTTATTGTTGCGCAACTTTCGTATGGCATCGGCCACTTCTCCTTCAGAGGGGGGTCGCATGGCACTGCATAGGTAGGAAGGGGAAGAAACTCTGCTGTAGAGGAGATCAAGAGATAGGTAGATTGAGTATCGAAGTTGAGATGGTGGTGAAAGTGCTCACGCCAGCGCTCGACGTTGACCGAGTTGTCAACAATAAAGCCGCCGTTCACATCGCGAACAGAGTCACTCAGTGTAGAGGGCTTACCGCTAACTTCGCGGATGAAACGGTAGAGATTTTGAGTGTCTCCACAGTTCGACGCCTGTTCCATGGAGGTCGCTATTTCAGCCCAATATTGCTTCCGGTCATCCCTGGCCAATTTTGCCGTCATCTCCCGAAGTTGGCGGAAGCAGTCATGGTTGCGGGACCTGGCTCGAGCCGTCTGAGCAGACAACCGTAGGGTTCTTCCGCTGATCCAGTCATTGCGGCGTCGATGGGTGTATCCAAGGATTTTCTTCGCTGCCACATAGACTGAAGTCTTTAGTGACGACAACTGGTTACTGACTTCTCCGCCGGCTCGGGTCGTAAAACAGGTCCGGATTTCTCTGCTCAGGGCCTCGGCAGTGCTGACTTGTCGGATTTTTGCGACATTGAGGCGTATAGGACGTGGCATTTTTGATGCGGATGATAGATGAACGTTCAAGCGTGTACGGACGAGGACATGGTCCGACCCACGGGCGTTACCAGTCTCGGCACCACGCATCGATCTGCTATCGTGAACCCAGCTGCGGAAACTTGAGCTGACCGGTATGTAGTCAATCGAATTAGCCGTATGACCGTCGTTTGAATACCAAGTCAGCAGATGTTTTTAGCGATGCTGGAAACATGTGTTGGTGACAAGCAGTCGGTTTCGATCAGCGAAGTTCAGCAATCTCTCACCATTTACGCATCGGGAGCGAAGCCTAAAGCGGCAAAGAAGATGACTGGTTGTGGGGTCGCCAGGTCCAGTTCGAACATTCGAATCGCCAATATCAATCAGCAGATCGCGGTTGGGCAGTATTTCAACTAGCGTTTGTAACTGAGAGTAAAAGGCGTCTTTATCGCGCTGTTCGGCAGCCGAAATTGGTTCGTACACAGAGACGATTGAGATGTTCGTGACGTGGCCCTTCAATCGCACGTAAGCCATCCGGTCATTGGCTGGTTCCCAAGCAAGTAGCGCGAGGTAAAGTGTGATTCGACTCCCGATATCTTTATTTCACTGTAGCCTGAGTCAGGGAGTCGAAATTCAGACAGACAGCAGACATCCAGGATGTACTGATAAAGGCTGTGTGCGGTGAGCCTTTGGGTAACGTTCGCACATTCCAGCATCCAATACCGAGAGTTCGTACAAGATTGAGTAGTCCTGCTCGCATACTTTTCGCCAGCACCACCGGACCAGGGTTGCGGAGGGCGTCGGTTCCCGCGGACGCCGTAGCATGGGTCGTGAGGTTTCTGGGGAATTTCGAATACGGGCGGGTCCCCAACAGCCGCTCGGAATTTTTGCTGGAGGTTGTCGCCTCCAGCGCTTTGGCTTAAAAGCCTAACCGCAAGGCAGCGGTGGCAAGTAAACTTATTTAATGGCGGTTTACGGTCGTCATGTCACAATGCTGTCATTGGGTTTCGCGGCTTTTTATAAGGCTTTCAGCGTGCCAGACCTCAGCCCACCGCACCCTGGTAGCAATGTCGCTGCTGGTCCACGACTGTTTATTCGTCAGACCTGGGTCTCCTTATTTCGCAGCTAACCTTCATTAAAGGTTGTTTCACTGTCCGCCACCTGTGGACACGCCGGGTAGCCAGCAGCTAGGCTAACCGGCAACCCGTCTTCCCAAGGCAACCCGTCTTCCCGGGTCTACATCAGCATCCACATCGGCTCCTGAAACACTTTCGATTTCTCAAAATGTCAGCAAAATTAGACGGAATAGCAAACCTGTCATTCTGTCTGGCAAGCCGCTTATTACCAGACAGTAGCCTCCCTAAAATTATTTCTTGTGACTATTTTGTGGAGGAGTCCCTTTTACGTCCAAGGACTCTTAGACTGACAGAATGATTTCGGTAAGTTTTTGCCATAATTGTAGTAACAGGCTGGCAATCATTAACACATTCATTCACAGTTTTGTAAGGTAGATATAGCTTAATCTACCTTCGAATGTTTCAAGAATGCAGAGGAAGTTTATTAGATGCAGGTCTAAATGACATTTGTATTATACGCATCGTCTACGTAACATGACAGAACAATTACGATACCAGCATCCGGTTGCGCGCACATACAATACATTCAATAAAAAAACTTTCTTGCAAAATCATTTTTGGTTCAGGAGGAATTATGCTGCGTAGTACTAGTGTAAGCTGTCAGATAAAGTGATGTTAACTGACATACGACGTGCGACTTGAACAGAGATCGCTTAGTCATTGTACCTTGGGGATTTAAACGGGCAATAATCGGAAACGCCATCGTTACTCTTCTAACAGGGGAAACATTATGCAGGTGGTTCACCGGTCGGACTGCGGAAAGCGGGGAAAATAGAAGAAATCAAAAAGAAAACGCACGTGCTAAAGGAAAATAAGCCAGTGTGTTTTACTGGACATTAAAATAACCAGGTAGGCAGCGTGAAATAGATAAATTCTCTGTCGGTTAGCAGAAAAACAAATCCAACAGCCATAATGATTAGTGGCCGGCGACAGTCATCAAAACTAAACCGCCCAAAAATAAAAGTTATCGGGAGTTGATGTTAACTGATCTAAATCCTTACACTGACCTTACACACCGATGCCAACATTCAGGTTTAAAAAGGAACCCTTACTCTTCGCCCTTACTCGAGTTCGGGTGCCATTATCTAAGCCTCACCGGTTACACTAAGACTCCGTGAGATTCATGTCGCTTCGTAAAGTGCGGTCGTATAGTTGGTTTGTGTGATCCCATTGAGTTTAATATGTATAGATGGCTACTATGTCTGCTTCAGCAGGCCTGGTTTAGTTTACCAATTAACGGCTACCCGATGCCGCATTTTGAATTTTATCCAACCAATAATGTGACAGTTAAATTCACTAGCGAAATCGCATTTTCAAATCTCAATTTTAGAATCAAACCGTCACCTCCACCTGTGGAGTTGCAGGTCCATTGGACGACGCCTACGTCATCTGTTGAGACAGATTGTCTGTTATGGAATGCCGCACGTCAAGGAATAATACATTTCCAAGTGCAGTCAAGTGAACCCTCTTACCACTGCAATTTCTCACGCATCATTGTAAAATATTATAAATATTGTTTGTTTAATAAAACTTGTTTAAACACACTTATTCCTCCATCATCTGTGTTGGTGGGCATCCGTGTGCACATAAGGGCTGGGTGGGGCATGTGGACGTCATAGAGCATGAAAAGGTATACTTTCTCTAAAAAATAGGCATAATTTGCAAACTCATAAGGAAAAGGAACTGCAGACGGTACTAGCTCTCTGTTGCCTAGATGTTTTCTCGATTTACGACCACGCATGGCGTTATCGATTGGCTACAGGTTTCATTTTTCAGTACGCGACGAAGAGAGGCGACGGTGGTTGACATTGGCTGTGGTAGCTATCGCTGATCCTTGCGGTAGTCGTGGTTGCGTAAGGCAAATAACACGAATTGCCTGATGTCGATGGCCAAAGCATAACCTGTCGGGTTGAAACAGATGTGAAACTGCCTTGGAGACTCTTCCACTGCAAGAAATAGCCCCGCAGATTTCGGGTTGTTCTTCTTGTGACCGCCGCCTGTTTACATTGCTTGATAGATTTGCTTGGGCATTCATTGTCCCGAAAGCGGTCATAAAGCTGTTGTCGTTCAACAAATTTGTTGTCTAGTGTGTTTAAACTCTGAAAAAGAGCACGGGGGCAGCTGCGTTTGTGGATAGACCACGTTGCATTCTCTTCAGACGGACACATTGAATTTCCCATTGTACAAACCTGGTTAAACCTCGTCTTCAAAACTATACCTTACTGTGTTAATCTGAAGAAAAACTATGAAGAACAATGGCATTGGAAATTGTGGGACTCATACTGCTTATGGATGTCTGTTCATTTCCGACGTCATACATGCAACTAAATATGTAGTTCATAAATTACAAAAAATTGGGTTTGTATATAAATCGGAAAATTGACATGGCTTTTACTTTTGAGGTTTATCATTTGACTAAGGACATTTCAAAAGTTCTAAGCCAAAAATTACCCATTTACGGCAGTTGAGCCATCAGCCAAAGAACACAATTACGACTTTTTCTGATTTCTTGTCCAGTAAATGACTAAAAATACTTTGGAAGCAACACAATTTTTCCACTTAATCGTAACCATCAAGGGTAGCCTGTAAATTAAAATATTTGAAACTTCATGTAGAAACATGTTAACCTATTTATGCGTCCAAGGCGCATACAGGAAAATAGAGATTTCAGGCGGTAAAATATGAACTTAATAGGTTGGTGCTTTAACTGCCGCCTAATTAATAGCGAAGACTGTTGCATGCGTGTTTTGGCTGCCTGATCATTCCCTTGAAAAATATGCAAATATATGTTATCGATTTATCTATTAATCACGATATTTGAGCAGAATTGTTGTCATAATTGAAGAATGTTTAGTCACCTATCGTTTGCCAAAACCGCTTAGCGATTTACCCAATACGGCAAGAGCCTTGACCGAGAGAGTTTGACTACAATTAAGGGTAAATTTAATAGACATTGTGATGCAGAAATAAATGCCAGAGTAACCTAGACTAGGCAAACTGGAATAAGGAAATCTTAACGGCACAAAGGCAGTCATTATAGCATTTCGTTCTTCGCGATAAATAGCTTCAGAGCCGCAGGCCTAGAATGTGAGCATACATTGTGGCTACTTTCGCAGAAAAGACGGATTGTAAGATGTCAAACGCATTTACCTGGTGAGCAAGATTTTATGCGAGGGTGTTGTCGTAAGCAGAATACAACGGGACGTTAGATTGATGTCACAGTCAAACCAGAAATTTTTGCTGCATTCAAATGTTCTATCGACCGTATTAGGGCACATAAACGTCGTGCAGCTCTTACCACTTGGGCGAGGTTCCACCCCGTTGGATGCTGCAGCTCACAGTGCGAGTCTGTCCTATAGGGTGAGCAAAGATCTGTATGGTATGTCGTTGTCAGTCTTGGTAGAAGTGGATCTCATATTGACCGGACTGAAAACTCGGCGCTTTGGTGAGTTTTGAACTCACGACAGCGAGGAGAGGCTTTAGTACAATCACTGCCCTAGGCAATTGGGATACGAGGACACTTAGACTCCTAATTCGATGGGCGAGTAAGATGTCAAACGCATTTACCTGGTGAGCATGACTTTATGCGAGAGTGTTGTCGTAAGCAGAATAAACGGGACGTAAGAGTAATCTCACAGTCAAACCAGACGTGCTGCTGAATTCAAATACTCTGCCGGCCGAACAAGGGCATATAAATGTCATGCAGATCTTACAATTTGAAAGCGGTTCCACTTCGTCCGATGTTCTAGCTTACAATGCGACTCTATCCTATGGGGTGAGCAAAGATCTGTATGATATGTCGTTGTCAGTCTTGGTAGAAGTGGATCTTATATTGACCGGACTGTGAAAAAACTCGGCGCTTTGGTCAGTTTTGAACTCACGACGGCGAGAAGAGGCTTTAGTACAATCAATGCTCTGGCCAACTGAGATACGAGGACACTTGGTCTCCCAATTCGATGGGCGAGTTTATCCTGCAGTTTATAGAAGGATCAGTATGGATTCCGATGGTGGTTGACTTAACAAGTGCCGAGGCTGTAAACTTGAAAATTTTATTTTTTTAAAGACCGTCGCTGAGGCATAACTTGGGTCGACATTCCTATATCTACAGCACATAGTAGTGCGAGAATAGGTACGTTTCGCGACATTTCTTTGACTGCCTATTTCAAGCACAGTCTCGTATGTACAGTCCTGGATTTTACTGAGAAGTGCACTAGTCTGATTTTTTGAAGAGATGAACAATGAATAGGCTTACCGGGCAATTTCTGTACCAAAATTGATCATTCTATTCATACAGTCGGCTTACTTTAGTTGTATATATTAGGAAGATGACAATTAGCACACTTGTAGTACTTTATAATATAATTTCTGTGAATTCTTTTCAATATTTGACTTTAGAAAAACAATACATATTTACCAAATTTGCGCACATTTTTCGTTGTTATGGCTGGAGGAATTTAATGAATATATAACTTATAATACCCGCTAACGAATAATGTTTAACTTTCAAATACACCTGCTTCACGCATTTTTGGAAAGTTCGGTTTCCTTCCTAGACAACTACACATACTTGTTACGGCTGGTGTTATATGACTATCTGTAATATTGTAATGATCTCGTGACCGTTGCACGCATTCACATTGTGAATTTGAGCAGTTTGCGTCGTTTATGACTGTAAAATCATAATGAAACCAGGGAAATGCATTCGAAAAACGATGATAATTAAAAGTAATGCAATCATTAGGCCAAACTCTGGAGTTGAGCCATCCCTAATACGGACTTCAAATTTTCGTGCCTACGTAATAACAATTATGAACATTTCAATAGCTGTGAATAGAACTTTGAAAAGGTAAGTGAAATATGCATCTGCCAAAGCACCAGAACTAAACTTGAAACTTTAAACCCGCAGGGATTGGCTGAAACCAATTGCATAAACTCTTCGGTGAATGGTTAAATATATTTTAAAGGAGAAGGAACTAAGATATCTGGAACGGAGTATACACCGACCACGATCCTGGGAAGTGTGTGGGTGCGAAATGTATGACAGGCTTGTATGGAGTTGGAGGTAATCATTGACCAGCCATTCACGTGGCTGGCTGTGTCCGCTCTGACACATAAGCACACTTCTTTCTCCGCCAACAATACGTCCTTTCGTTTCCCCGTCGGTGTGGTTGCCGAAGTCGAAGTTTGAGTGACATTTCTTCCTGACATCATTCGCGTCGTGAAATTTCTGTCTTCCAGCGCATAGGTCCATCAATGCTTCTGCCACATTCAATCAAAAGACGAAAGTCCAATAAAGTTCAAGGGCAATTTCGCATGCCCCGGGCTCTATTTTGTCGGGGGGGGGGCATGTCCAATGTACCGACTGACGTCGAGAGTTTCGTGCAGAGCACTGCGTCTTTAATCCAAACTGGGTCGCGGTAATTCATGCCGATTATATAATTTTCCCTCATAAGTTGGGTTAAATTGTCTATGCACCATCGCGACATAAACTGAAACCGGCAAAATATGTTTGGTTAAACGCATTTCAGAGCCTTGATTTGTGGAGGCATTCACTGAAGGAGGTTTATTGGAGGCCTGACGTTTTGAGTAGTTAATTGGCTTATCCATCCACAGAAATTAGATAGTCATTCTCACAGCTGACAGTATATGGCGCACTGTGTTTGATGTTTAGCCCGGCACAGTTGCCCTTGTGACTGCATTCGAACTGCATTTCTCCGTGACCGGATTCACTCCCAGCCTCGTAGACTGTGGAGACAATCTGCGGCGTTACTGTTCCATGTCGAAAAGCTTCTGAAAACCAAATAGCGTGGCGGCTGACAGAGCAGTCAGCAGACACCCAGGCTTATTGCACCTACCTTACTGGATGATCGTCGCCTCGGCCCAGGATCTTACTGGCGTCAAATTTTAAAACGTGTTCTACATGCGCGTCATGGATTGCCACGTCCGGATTTGGGTCAGACATTTGCACGGCCAACAGCCACACGGGCGAATTTGGCGAACTACGTACTAATGTCTGGTTTCTGAAGATGAGCAGGCGTCAGACATGCAGTCCCAGTGAACGCCCCTCTGCTTTTGATATGCCAACTGTGAATCGCATTCTTACTATTGCTGTGCAATGTATTCGGACTGGTCCACAGGGTCATGCTAATAATTTTTAGGACAAACGAGAATTGGTACTCTATTAAATGGTAATGGATGGTCTGGTGAAGGAAGCATACGGTAATTTGTAAATCAACACGTTTTCATTTGTCGGCCCTATTGAACTGCTGAGAGCACACATAATTTGTCAGGGCGTTCGTAGATTCCGTGAAATCTTTTCGACGCTGTCACAATGACTACCTAATGAAGCAGGATTTGTGAGAGATCTTTTTGGTTTTCCTCGCTCATCGCCAGCTTTTAACTGCCAGTATGATCTGTCACATTAAAATATGTCACTCGATTCGGGTAGCATGCACTTGCTTTCAATGTTGTGCGGATAGTGCCCTAGAAGCAAGTGTCATCCAACAGCATTGATTTCCAAATGGGTATCGCAAGGCTATGCTTTCAAACGACAGACTCTCTCTCCATTCAAATGTTAGCAGTCATCTCTCCATCTCTCACTCTCTCTCTATCTTTCTCAAAAGCTCCATGGAAATGGAAGGTAGAGGTGAATCAGGAAATTAGGACGTGACTCATGCGGCAAATATTTCACTTAGGAATTGCAAAAATTGCCAGAAGATAATTAGAACATGCAAATACCGTGTAGAGCGTCATTGCCACTGAATTTAAGGTACGGATTTCTCCTAATTATTGACTGAAAATGCATATTTCGTGCATTCACAAAACGCTTACATCCAAAATCAATTTGGGTACAAATTTATGTGGTTTAGGTTTGCCAAATATGCTGACAGATAAAGAAGTATTCAGGAGATAAACGATGGCGAATGCACAATTTACACCCACTGGTTTTATTATAGGATGCCATGAGTTATTAAGCACTTAGTCCCACCCTACTGGAATCTCGATTCGATCAAGTCAGCAACCGTAACACATCTGCTGATACGCGTAAAAGTACTTTCCCCTTTAAAAATTGCTCCCTGATAAGGCGTGCGACCACGGCAATTAATTCATTTCAAATATATTAACACAACAGATTGCTGCTGGCATATGTACATCAATCTGAGTCAGGAGGCAAACGCCAAACTTCGGTTCAGAAGATGGCCTCGAAACCGACCTTCTGCCCTTGGGCAGATTTGTGCGAAATTCGCACTCCCACGCTGGCCAGTCAATTCGACCTGGGCACGATCGATCGCAGCCAGCCGTTCAAACGCGGCACACTCAGCACAGCGGACAATATTGCGAATGACTGGGCCCTCTGCACAAAGGCTGATGACACCTTTCATTGTGATTCTAGTTTGCAGTGGTTTATTCAACCCACTAATCGAATCATTTATGGATTTAATATCGTGCCTTCAATGCGGTGAGTACTCTACTCTTCTATGCTTTTCATGTTTCCCACGCACTTTGCCTATCAATAGCTATTAGATTCCTATGTGCAGATCTAGTCCATGCAATTATTTGTGGAAGTAGTAGTCATTTAACGGACTGTATGTTCCTCTTCCATTGTAGGCATTGATTGAAGAAGAGGAGGAGTATTTTGAGAATGAGTATGTTGAGGAAGGAGAATATGAAGAAGACGAAGATGAAATTTAAACGATGAGAAATGACGGACTCAGCGAGGAAAACAAGGAGGAGCAATTGAAGGCCGAGAAAGTGGAGGAGGAGAAGGAGAGAGAGCGCGAGCTGGCGGAGAGTGAGGAGCAGGTGGAAGCAGGGCGGGTGGTGGTTGTGGAAGAAGGGGAAGTAGTCGGAGAAACAGTTGAGGATACGAGGCAATATGTGGACGAGAATGTAAAAAAGGCCGATGAAAGTAAAGAGATGACGGTGTCAAAGCATGATGCGATGCTCTACGGTCAACAATTCTCCAAGATACTGGAAGCATCAGAGAGGAAAATGAAAACCGAATCAACGCTTGTTAAAATAACAGGCAGACATAAAGGGTATGGAGCAACCACAACTTCCGGGGACGTTTTGCAGCAGCTAACAAGGGCTGAGAAGTGGGCAATGAAACGGCACGTTGGTCAGTGGACAAACGTTTGCGCATCGGCAGGTTGGTCCATGATTCCTTTGCTGTCATGAAAGTGTTCTTTATGTTCTGCCTTAGTCTTTTTGTTGGTCTCTAGTGCAATCGCATTTTCAAATCTCAATTTTAGAATCAAATTGTCTGCTCGACCATAGGAGACGCCGATACAATGGACGACGTCTACGTCATGTTTGGAGACGGTTTGTCTGTTGTGGAGTGCCGCAGGATGACGAATAAAACCTTTCCATCTGGAACCAAGCGAACGTTCTTACCCCTGTAATTTCTCACGCATCACTGTAAAATATACTGATTATTGTTTGTTCAATGAATCTTGTTTTCGCACACTTATTGGGCAATCGTCTGTGTTGGTGGGCATGCGTGTGCACAGAAGGGCTGGGTGTGGCATTCGAATGGCAGAGGACATGAAAGGTCTACTTTCGTTTATAAATGGGCATAATTTGCAAATTCATAAGGAAAAGGGCCTGCAGACGGTACTACCTTTCAGTCGCCTAGATGTTTTCTCGATGTCCGATCGTCCATGGCGTTGTTCGATCAGCTACTGGTTTCATTTTTGGTTATCCATTGGTCTGAGTGAATTCACAATAGCGTTTTCGTTCAACACGTGTGTTGCTGCAGTGTGCTGCAGTGTGCTTAATTTCTTTGGAAATGAGCATGGATACAGCTGCGTTTGTGATTGAGGAGGTGAATGCTGCTGTAGTGAAGCATTTTCTGGTTATGACGGCTTTTAGACGCCGTTTAATGCAACCTAAAGACATGCTGCCATTAACTGGAACCTCAGCAATTGTCCATTAATTGCGTTGCAGCGATGGAGAGTGCAACTACTTTGGGGAAACGGGGCGGAAATTGCAGAACCGCATACATGAGCACAAACTGGATACTCGGAGACTAGGCTCAAACTCATAGCTTGCGGCTCATACTGGAGAAAATAGTCAGATTTTTGACATTCAAGGAGCAAACACCCTAAGCCTGGACACCTCAAGGACGGAGAGTGTCATACTTGAAACTTGGCACTCAGATGCCCACTCCATAAGCAGGAATCGAGACTTTCCTGCAGCGTATAATGTCCTGCGTCACTTCAATGGCCATGACGGGGACAAGACAGTCACAGGAAAACCGAGCAAACACGGTCCGTCAACTAATTTACCTACAAAAGGAACACAAAAGCAGCCGACCACAATTGAGGTGAAAAAACACAACACCGGAGGCCAACAACATTCACAAACGACGGGCAGAGGACCAAGAAAAAGTTGATCAGATCAACGCCAACTAATTCGCTCGTTTATTTAAAATTCTGGTTGAAACGTCAGAAATGCCATAGCCTTGATCCGGTGTGCCCTTCAATTTTCTAAAATTATCGACCCGGATCTCTTTCGTTGGCCAACATGGTGTAAATCATACAGGTGAGAAACAAATCTGCCAAACGCTGAGCAGCTTTTTAATTGGACAGCAGTGCTGGTAACCTTGACAAAATGAGTTTATTAAGCATTTAGAACAGAAAATACAAGATTCTCGACACCGTAAGAGAAAACAAATGTAATCATCTTCAAATCGAAGAGAATGTGAAAGTTACAGAATGCCGGTCAGAAGAGGAAGTAAATGTGATCGCCAGAACAAAAAACCTCTTTTTCCTGGCGTTTCTGATTCTTACTCGAACCCATCATCAGAGACTTCTGCGGGTAAAGGTAGTTGAAGCACAAAGACTGCAGTAAATGAAGCACGCTGTTGCCACGGCACCACATAAATAATATAATAAACAGTTCTCGCGATCCGTCATGATGTCGTAATTGAAGCAATGATGGCTTGTCAGGCCCGCAATCCATCCACAAGCGTAATGTCCTCCCGGTACCTATTCGTAACCATCAAAGGTAGTCTATATTTATGAATGTTTGGGAGTTAAAAAAGGAACACTTAAAACTAATTAAGCGTCCACGGTGCATACAGGACAGTAGAGATTTCAGGCGGTATAACAGGAAATTAAGGGGTTGGACAATTAACTGCCCGCATATTATTAGTGGATAATGTTGCGTTCCTAAAACTCTTGTTTTACGGACCGATTACATAAATGTTTCGTGTGACTGATCTCTCATTTGGAAAATATGAAAAAGCTATGTGGCCGATTTATCTATTGGTCACTAAACTTGCGAAGTAAACTTAACAGTATTGAAGTTTGCTTTGTCTTTAATTATAAATGTTTGACACTTCTTAGAGGAACACGAAAAACTAGTTATGCGTCCACGGCGCATACAGGACAGTAGAGAGATCAGGCGGTATAACATGACATTAAGGGGTTTGATCTTTAACTTTTCGTCTATTAAATAGCAAATAATATTGCGTCCCAAAATTCTTCTTTTACAGAACTATTACTCAAATGTTTCGCGTGACTGATCCTTCTCTTGGAAAATATGAAACATTTATGTGGCCCACTTTTCTATCGATATCAGTATTTGAGCAAAAAATGTGACAATATTGAAGGATGATTGGTCACCCATCGTGTGCTAAAAACCACTTAGCCATTTACCCAATGAGGCAGAAGCCTTGACCGAGAGCACTCGACACGAAATCAGCAGCCCGTCTGGTTGGTCTTTAAGATTACTCTTAATTACCGCAGTATCCTGCTTACGAAAACATCGTCGCATAAAATCCTGCTCACCAGTTTAATGCGTTTGACATCTTAAAATTCCGTCTTTTCTGCGAAAGTAGCCACAATTTATGCTCACACTCTAGGCCAGGGGCTCTGAAGCTATTTTCCGCGAAGAATGAAATGCTATGATGACTGCCTTTGTGTCACTAAGATTTCCTTTTCCCACGGTGCCTAATCTAGGTTAAACTGGCCTTTATTTTTATATCACATTGTCTATTGAATGTACCCCTCATTGTAGTCAAAAGGTCTTAGTCTATCCTTCTGCGTTATTCGGTAAATTGCTAAGTGGTTTCCAGCTCAAGATGAGTGACAAGGCAAACTTCAATTCCGTAAATTTTCTGCCCAAATGTTAACATCAATAGATAAATCGGTCGCAATTCTTCTTCAACTTTTGCAAATGAGAGATCAGTCACACGAAACATTTTGGTAATGCGTCTGCGAAACGAGAATTTTAGGAACGCAGCGTTATCCGCAATTAAATAGACGGGCATTTAATTGTCCAACCCCTTAATTTCATATTATAACGCCTGAAATCTCTACTGCCCTGTATGCGCTGTGGACGTATAATTAATTTTACGTGTTCCTTTATGAAGTCCCAAGCATTGTAAATTAGATGCTGCCTTTGATGAATATAAATAAGTTAAAGAACCTTCTTTAAGTCTTTTACTGGCCGAGGACTCAGAACAATTGTAATTTTGTTCGTAGGCTTCTGGCTTAACTGCTGAAAATGGGAAATTTTCAGTTAAGAAGTTTTTAAATGTCTTTCGACCAAGGATGAAACTCAGACGTAATAGGCATTTCAATCTTCGAATTGATATACAAACCTAAGCTTTTGTAAATCGTAGACTCCATAAAAACTTACAGAGAATACATCGGTATTGAACCGACAATCAAAAACAGTATGAGTCTTACAAGTTTCAATGCCATTGCTCTTCATAGTTTATCTACAGATAAAAACACTTAGGTAAGATCTTGAAGCCGACAATGGATCATGTTTCTGCAATGTAGAATTCAATGTGCAGGACTGAAGAGAATACAACGGGGTCTATCCGAGAAAATAGTAAAATTTTGGGGTTGCACATGCAGCCTACAAATTGCAATAGCAGCTGTGTAATGGGGGGAGTAATAGTGGAGAAAATGTAGAAGAAGTGAAAGAAGGAGGAGATTGCGAAAAAAGAAGATGAGGAGGGATAGGAAAAACGAATAGAAAGAAGCTAAGGAAGAAGAAGATGAAGAAGAAAAAGAAGAAGAAGAGGGAGAGGCAGGATAAGTGGAACGTTGAGGAGGAAGGAGGGAGAGAGGAACCGGAAAACGGGAAGAGACCAGGAAGAGAAATAAGAAAGTGACGAAGTGGGCAGGAGGAAAGGGATAAGGAGCAGGAGGGAGAGGAGGAAGAAGAAGAAGAAGAAGAAGAAGAAGAAGAAGAAGAAGAAGAAGACGAAGAAGAAGAAGAAGCGAAGCAGTGGTGTGTCGAAGTAATAGCGCTTGATGCAAGGGTTGCGATTCCATAGAACGAACGCAAAAATCGGCCTTGGTAGCCGCACAGGCTGCTAAAATAACCAGAAACTCCATCTATGCCGCCGTTACTCTCTGGTGTGACTACCTCCTCTTTACCCTCTGACAACATACGGAATCCTATGAGTAAGATATTATATAGTAGTGAATTGGAAAGCTATCTCAAGCTAGTGTGGTGCACCGAGATATGCTATCTACAGCCGTCAGGCTTCATGACTTCGGCTCGACACCGGATGCGGACGGTGTATTAGGCGAGACATGTAAGATTGTTTTACATTTCCGACACACTTTCTGTGATCGTGGTCGGCGTATGCTCCGTCCCAGATAACTGAGTTCATTTTCCGTTAAGGGATATTTAGCCTTTCAACGAAAAGATTTCAGTTTCTGTCGCGAGGGTGCACAATCAACGTAACTGAGCATATGATTATCACAACGGCGCATTGCAGCGCGCGAAGCGCTTGACGTCAAAGGAGACCACCAACATTCAAGAAACGACGGTACGAGGGCCAAGTCAGTAGAAGAAGAAAAAATTTATCATCTCAAGACAAAATAATTCGACCACTCATTCAAAATTCTGATTGATTTTTGCACTAAACACCTTGATATTTGGCAGCTGACCAAGCTGCCAGAAAATTCAGCAATGCAATACCCTTGATTCATATCGCACATCAGTGTTCACAGACTATCTACCCGGATCCCTTTCGATAAAGACGCAGGTATAATCTGTATACCGAACCCACAATTTAGCTCTGTCTCATCCGTCTTGTGTAGGATTGACTCCACTGGTGCAATCATCTTGGCAGGCTTGGCAACAGCTGCCTTAAATGAGGCCTCATGCCATAAAACCTGCATATGTTCCTCTGCCAGCTTCTTTGTGTACAGTCTCTGCATCAGTTTGTTGTTCTTAGATGACGTTGATGTAGGGACCTTACAAAATTTGTTCTCTAGTGTGACATTGTTTTCTCTCTTTATTCGCATTTTTGTTCGGTCACACGCTTTTGAAGCAGTTTCGTATCGTTCTCGTCCATGCACTCGCGCCATCTTTTCTGCTCTTGCTCAATACCTTGACAGTATTTGCGAACCCTTGAGTGATAGTCCTCAAGAAGCACTCGGATCCCTCGTCTGTCGTGCTGGGATACTGCACGTCGCGCCAGCTCTGTGTTAATCTAGGTTATGTAGGGAGCACACTTGGATAACACATTATTGTTGAGAAACCTATGCTGAAACCGAAGCTGCGCATATGTAGATGACTTCCGAAAGGTAAATCTTTCCACTGTCGAGCCGATCGGAGCACATCGGGTCCAAAATGATTGTCAATAAAGGAGAACAGGCAAGATCCAGGAAGCGGTTCAGATCTGGTGCAGGTGCAGACATAGCGTCAACATCGGAGAAAACGAGAGATTACTTTGTACGCGGATGGCTAAGCACGCCGCAGCAGTGACGACGAATGACGATAACTCACAGTTGACTGCTCATTCTGCTTCAAGCGGGCGAAATCCTTCCAAGGCGCGACAGCCGCGTTAGCCGGGAGCTGCCTAAATCATGTTTTACTGCCCCCTTGTCCATCAACAATTGCAACGAACGGAAAGTTGCTGCGGTCGCGAATGATTAACTATAGCAGGACTGTAGTATGGCAAGTGTGCAAAATAACCGCCAGAAAGCAATACGCGAGGTAGCCCTAGAGAGCAAACTTCGTAAGCTGCCTGCTCCAATATCATCCAAGAACGAGAAACTGGCGCCCAACGTGTTGTCAAAGGAGCTGACGGAGGATCAAATGCTGTTTTTACATCATGAGGCTTCATTCAACACAGCCGATGCCAAACCTGCCAACATGATTGCAGCAGTGGAATCAATCCTCTGCCAGGCGGGAGCGATAGACGAAACGAAAAATCTAATTCGACACCAAGTGTTCTCCCTCCTCATGGCTCACAGGCCACGCGACGTGCATTCCAAGGTCAAGCGCGGTGCACTTAAGGAACTGGGGCCGACAACGACATCGTTATCGTGCCTGCGGACAAGGGACGTTCAACAGTCGTATTGGACAGGACAGTCTACAATCAAAAAGCCGAAAGCTTGTTGTAGGGTCGTCGGTCCTACGTCCCATGCAAATCCAACCCCATAAAAACTCTGACATGCGAGATTAACGCGACGCTGTTGGCAATGGAGAACTCAGGTGCGATATCGCCAATCGACCGACGCATGGAGAGAGCACAAACTCGGCCCTAGCGCGATTCTACATTCTTCCAAAAGTGAACAAAGAGGGCACTCCTCTCCGGCCTATCGTATCACTAAAGGGCACTCCAACCCACGGACTGGCAAAGTGGCTGTTCCAACGTCTCAAGATTCTGACCTCCGATTCGAACACCATAGTCACCTCGTCAACGCAATTCTTGGAGAAACTTAAAGGAGTAAGTCTCCTGTCAAGCGATTTCATGGTTTCCTTTGATGTCACGTCCCTTTTTACTTCTATTACGCAGGATCTGACAGTCGTGGCCATCGAACAATTCCTACGAGCGAAAAACGACGAAACGGAGAATCGCCTCGGAAACGCCCAAATCACCCAGCTCCTGAAGTTCTGTCTCGACACGTACTTTACGTTTGACAGAAGAATCTACGAGCAGGTGAAGGGAACGCCAATGTGTTCGCCGATTTCGGGGCTCATAGCCGAGGCGGTCCTATAACGCCTGGATTCGCTGGTTTTCCGAAACCACAGTCCGAATTTCTGGGCTTGGTGTGTGGATGACACCTTTGTCGTCATCGAACGGGATCAGGTGCTGACATTCAAAGAACATCTCAACGCCGTCTTCCCGGACATTCAATTTACGATGGAGAGGGAGGAAAACAACCAGCTGGCCTTCCTGGATGTCCTCGTCTGCCGCAAAGATTGTGGTGGCCTAAAAAAACAAAGGGTTCAGGAAAGCTACAAATACGACGCAAATACTGCATTTCAATAGCGACCACCCGATCAGTCGCAAATACAGTTGTTTTAGGGCGTCGAATTTTATGACAAATGTGTATTTGCGCAACACTGGATGTATGTACGTACGAATCGAGAGGAGTGCCTAATCGCATCCTGGATCTAGACCTACGTCAAGACCTGCCCCACATTTGCTAACCGCTCTCTGCCGCACTCTTCCTGTAATTTACTTAGAACGCCAGACGGAGCGTAAATAAATATTTTCACGAGGAGAAGTGTCTGCAAAATTAATTAAGTAGTAGAGTTAACTCAGAATGGTTGCCCTGGACGTGGTTTATTGACCATATAAGGAACTGTAATATGTCATTAAAAGCGGCATTTGTGAAAAAGAAGCTCCAAATACAATAAAAAGACAAAATGCACGCGTACGAACTTTAAGTCACCTACTCCACAAAAGCATATCTACGAGCCTTATGAATCCAGCGCTCCAGTCAGTTATAATTCGCATCTCACAATGTACATGCTTCACCTAATAAATTCAGTAACTATCAACGAATATGAAATTTTGCAGATTTTTGCCAGACTGATAACAAGGGTGCTAGATAACCGCAACCGGGTCTCGCTGATGTTTTGCATACCCAGGCTTCTCCTTGTGCTTTTATGTGAACCCAAAGCGAATACTTCAATGATTATCTCTCCGTTAAACGTCAATTGGAAATAGAAGACGCAGGAGGGTAAGCAACTAAAATTTGACAAGAGCGTTGGCAGTATCTTTAGTACCCACAGATATTTTGTAGAAGAGAAAACTGCCGTCGATAACTGAACATAAAAAGATGACATCAAACATCTGCGTCCCCAAATCCATGCCAAGAATTTTGACAAATTTCCCACGAGATAAAACACGTTTTATGCCAGTATTAATCGAAGTCCACATGCAGAATAGTTAAAAAAACTGTTGCTTAGGGTAAGATGATGTAAGGTGACGATTTGCCACACTAAGTGATAGGGACACACGGTCAGGATCCTAATCTAAAATCCCCAGTGCGGTACACAAAGTACAGTTTCATTTCACCGGCTTTATACTAAAATGACATTTGTTATGGAAAATTCAGAAGCATACGCTTAGTATTTGGAAGCTATCTCGACAACAATCGCAGAAAAACTATTCATTCGCGAAGTAGAGCTTTCCCATTTAGAATTTGACTGACTGTCATTCATGTGCTTAGAGCCCGCGAATGTACATGAGGCTGGTTTAGCAATAAAATGCCCTACTTAGGATTAAAAAACAGCTAGGAAACCGAGTTTCTTCCCTTGGGTACGCAGGTACGAATTCCGCACTCCTACGCTTGCCAATCAACTTCGGCTTGTGCACGATCGATACCAGTCAGACATTCAAACGCAGCACACTCAGCACAGCAGACAATAGCGCGAATCTTTCGGCTCAGTGAACATCTGCTGATGACGCGTGTTAGCGTGCTTTTAGTTTGAAGCGTATTATCCAACATCCTTAACAATGCTACTATGCATTTCGTACTCTGCCTACAACAGGGTAAGCGCCTTCATTTGTATGCTTTTCCTCTGCCTATCAAAATTTAACTATCAGTAGTTCTAAGAGTCCTGTTCCATCCAGTTAAATGAGGAAACAGAGGTCGCTTAACAGAGTCCATGTACATTGCGGGCATCGATTTTACCTCCGTTACAATGGCTGCTCTAAGTTTTGCGTTGATTTTGTTATTAGAACTCCAGGATTTAACTTATAAGTTGTGCGAACGCAATTTGGTAACCAACAAATACAGTTCAATACTTTAATAAATTTCTGCACGGATTTCCTACGAGTATGCCATTTCCAGAAATTTAGTTAACCCGGTTAACGGCTGGGCACTTATTTATGCGTGCTAGGCAGATTTGTCGTCTTTTCCTAAAGGGTTATTTTATATCAGATGTGCCGTCAGATCGACAAGCGACTGTCAAATCGTGGAAGACAGCGAAGCAGTATGTACACCTGATTGTTATGGCGACTGTGAAATTGAGGTGTTTACGTCTACTGAAATAGGTAAATCGTTTTTGAATAGACGTCAAAACTGCCAGTCATTACATTTATAAAACCTACAAAGAATTTTCCAAGCCATGAACCGCGTTCCTCCACTGACCAACATGCCGTCTCATTGTTCATTTCTCGGCTCTCGTTAACTGCTGTGACACGTCTGCAGAAGCTGATACCGGCTCTCGTACTGTATGTCTGCCTTGTGGGTTTGAAAGCATTCCTTAAAATTTTATAATATTCTGTGGAGCGTCGAATGGCTTAGCAGAGTAGAGCATCGTATCGTGCCTTGATTCCGTCATTCCCTTCGCTCTCTCCTCCTTCTTTTTCCCCTCGTCCACATTGTGTCGCGTCTCTCCAAGTTCTTCTTGGACTATTCTCTCTTCCTTCTCTCCCCACCCTGCTTCCACCTGCTCCTCGCTCGCCGCCACCTTGCGTTCACTCTTCTCTTCCTCCCTCTCCCGCACTGCCTTCGCCTCCCGTAGCTCCTCATTGCTTCCCCGCCAAGCTCATCACTTGTCGGCTTTACACCCTCGTCCACGTCTTCTATGTCCTCAACAGCTTTATCCTCCCCCTTCTCCTCCTCCTCATCCCCCGAAACCTCCTCAATTGTGTAGAGTTTGTGCGTTAGTCGACAGTCATGGATCACAGCGTCACCTACTTTGCAGACAAAGACATAATTCGGCGTTTTCAACGATTAATTTCAAGTCATTGCTGACAACATGCAACAGGCTCACTTACTAATTTTTGGCTGTTAGGCATCGCTTTCTCTTGACGAGGTAGCTTCTAATGATATCTCAGCATATCTTGCCATCTCCATTTCGCCGCCGACGGACCCATCTGGTGTAATTCCCGGCTCGCTGCCTTCCTCCATTGGGCAGTCGCAGGTCGATCGAAAGGCATTCCTGAAATAAGGGAAGCATTTACGCACAGACGCCAAATACGCCAAAAATTGCATTGAAGAAAACCTACGAGCAATATTCGAAGCCATGAACATGATTAACTAACCTTCTCGAATCATCATAGTTGAAGAGAATCCGTGGGAATAATTGCAAGCGTATTGGATTGTGTTTATACAATTTGAGAATTAAATCGTGGAGATGTAATGAAGAGATTAACGCACAACTGAAAGTAACGAATGTAACGAGTGATAAATCGACGCCTGAAGTAGAAAAAGCACATGGAGTCAGTTAAGCAACCTCTGTTCCCACATTCAACTTCATAGACTGGATCTGCGCATAGGAATCTTAAGCTACTGATAGGTAACTTTTATGAGATGCGTGATAGGTATGAAGAAGGAAAGTGCTTACGTTGTTGCAGGCTTATTATGTAATTCATCAGAGCATTTATCAGCGTGAGGAATCCGTGCAGAATATTGCCACCAAAATGAGTTTGTACAACTTGTGAGATAAATCCTGGACAATTGGGTAAGGCACATGATAAGCATTAAATAGAAATGCGCTTACCGCATTGAAGGCGGTCCATGAAATGTATTTCATTATATTTCTTTAAGGCGGAATGTATTTGTAGAACTTGAATGATATATCTTGCTGTTGCAATAGACAAATCAACGTGGAACTTAAAACGTGCGATGCAACGAGTGTTAAATCGATGCATTAAATGGAGGAGGAGCTCGCAGTCTGTTGAACAACTACTGTTTCCATATATAATTGCATGGACTGGATCTGGGCACATGAATCTAGAATCTACTGATAGTTAAATTGCTTGAGAAAAATAAAAAGCAAAAAAAGAGGAAAGTACCTACCCCGTTGAAGGCAGGATATTAAATGCATAAGAGAAAATGCATAAAATCTACAGATGAACAACACGAAAACAGGCGTCATCAGCAGATGTACAGAGAGGCCAGACATTCGCACTATTGTCCGCTTTGCCGAGTGTGATTAGCTTGGACGACAGACTGCTATAGATCGGGTTTAATCAGAAGTTTGTTGGTTACCATAATGAAAGCGCTGAGGACGGAAAAGACGCGGGGGAAAGCAAAAAACCAAAATATGATGGGCATGGCGAGGGAAACAAGTAGGAGCAAGAGGACCCGGAGGAAGTAGAGGAGGAGGAGGAGGAGGAGGAGGAGGAGGAGGAGAATGAGGAGGAGGAGGAGGAGGAGAGTGTGCGATGAGTGAGTGAGGAATCGAAGGAGATGGCGGATTTGAAGCCGAGTGCGAAGGCCCACTGTCAGCGGTCTGCCAAGCTTCTTGACGCTACACAGAAGACGATGAAAACGGAAAGAATGCATGGAGAGTCGGCAATAACCTCCGGGGTTGTGTCAAAGTAGTTAAAGAGTGCAGAGGGATGGACAATGAGGAGTCGTGCTGGTCAGTGGAGGAACGCGCATGCATCGTCAGGTTGGTCCATAATTATTCTGCAGTCGCGAAAGTGTCAATCATGCACTTCTTTAGTCTTTTTGTTGTTCTCTAGTGCAATTGCATTTTCAAATCTCAATTTTAGAATTAAAAAGCCTGCTCGACCAGAGAAAATGCAGGTTCATTTGGCGAAGCGTGCAACATGTTTGGAGACGGTTTGTCTGTTATGGAATGCTACACGTCGAGCAATAGTACCTTTCCAACTAGAACCAACTGATCCTTCTAACTCCTGTAATTAAACATGCATTTTTGTAAAATATTCCGATAACTGTTTGTTCATTAAAAATTATTTTTACACACTTATTAGGTTATTTTCCCAATGCAAGCGCGGGCATGTCGTTGTCGATCGGCTATTGGTTCCATACTTACTTGGATCGGTACGTGAACGCCGACGACATTCGTCGGCAGCGGTCATTGACATTAGTAATAGATGCCAACTCTGATGCTCCCGGTAGGCTTCGAGGCGTAAGCCAGTTTACAGGATTTTGGAGAGAGTGGTCGCGAGTAAACAACATTGGTTTGTTCATCATTTGCCAGCTAACATAGATACGCAGGCACATGGTTGGAGGGAAATTTTGTTTTTAGGAAGATGGAAGTCCTTGGGACTGAGAATAAAATGTTCGTTTAATGAATCTGCATCAGTGCTTGTACTTGCACTTGATACGGCTGCGATCTTGCCTGATCTAGCCGTCCTCGATAATGTCCCGAACTGTACCTCTCCACGCGTGACGATCCGCGGCAGCTGATCTGGACAGCTCAACCCATTCCCTTCGCCAACGACGGAGACCGAATACCGAAGGTCCAAGAACCACCTCCATGTCTTGACGGACAGTGTCGAGCCAGGTTTTAAACTGACCCTCTCTTCAACGCCTCCGATGGGACAACGGTGCCGGGTCAACGGCAGCAACACTGAGCGCCTGAGGTGGACGACGAAGAACATGTCCCAACCACTTTAGTCGTCTTTCTTGGATGGCCTGAGTTATACTTGCGATGTTGTCGCAGCGAGTGCGGACTGTCTCATTTGAGACCAAGTCGGTGAACTTCACTGGAAGGATGGTCCTTAAGCAGTTGTGGTCAAATACCTCAAGTTTTCGCTCGTCCTCCACGCTCAAAGCCAGCATTCACAACCGTAGAGAAGAACAGCCGGACAGATGCACGGTAAACGCAAATCCTAGCAGCCTCGCCCCAAGGTATTTAAAACTGTCTACGTTTTCAAGTTGACAGACATCAATCCCGAGGGGTGCCTTCTCCTGGTCAGAGATGCAGCTTGAAAACACTTTGTTCTTCTCAGCGTTTCTGGATAAACCGACCGATTTAACGACCTCGTTCATCCGTAACAGAAGAGAATGCAGATCACCAAAACTTGAAGCAAGTAAGACGATATCATCGGCATAGTCGAGATCAGTCAGTCGATGTCGGGGTGCAAATTCAACGTCGTCACTGTCGCGTAGGGCGTTACCGAGGATCCTGTCAATAGCATAGTTGAACAGCATGGGTGACAGGATACAACCCTGTCGGATGCCGGAACGAATACCGAACAGTTAGGAAAGATTGTTGCGGACCAGGACACTTGCAGTAGTGGACCGATAATAGGCCTTGGTCATTGCGACAATATTTGCCGGTACACCATCTAGCGCCATTATCCGCAACAGGGACACACGGTGAACGGAGTCGAACGCGGCGGCAAAGTCAATGAAGCAGACAGCCGTCGGTTGATGGTAGCTATGGCAAAGTTCGAGAATTCGTCTCAATGTAAACATATGGTCTGCGCATCCACGTCCAGCACGAAATCCGGCTTGGTTGGGCCTCGTCCTTGAGTCACGCACAGCCTGGAATCGCCTGAGTAGGACAATAACGAAGATCTTCGCAGCAACGTCGATGAGACTTATGCCGCGGTAGTTCTCGCATCTCGTATTATCTCCCTCCGTGAGGATAGGTACAAGGATACCTAAGTCCCAGTCATCAGGAACAACCTCGTCTATCCACGCTCGTTCAATCAACTCATTAAGCCAGGGTGCCAGAGTGTCGACACAAGACTTGAAGATTTCAGCGGCTATACCGTCTTCTCCGGGTGTCTTATTGTTGCGCAACTTTCGTATGGCATTGGCGACTTCTCCTTCAGAGGGGGGGTCGCATGGCACTGCATAGGTAGGAAGGGGACGAAACTCTGCTGTAGAGGAGATCAAGAGATAGGTAGATTGAGTATCGAATTTGAGATGGTGGTGAAAGTGCTCACGCCAGCGCTCGACGTTGACCAAGTTGTCAACAATAAAGCCGCCGTTCACATCGCGAACAGAGTCACTCAGTGTAGAGGGCTTACCGCTAACTTCGCGGATTAAATGGTAGAGATTTTGAGTGTCTCCACAGTTCGACGCCTGTTCCATGGAGGTCGCTATTTCAGCCCAATATTGCTTCCGGTCATCCCTGACCAATTTTGCCGTCATCTCCCGAAGTTGGCGGAAGCAGTCATGGTTGCGGGACCTGGCTCGAGCCGTCGGAGCAGACAACCGTAGGGTTCTTCCGCTGATCGAGTCATTGCGGCGTTGCTGGGTGTATCCAAGGATTTTCTCGCTGCCCCATGAACTGAAGTCTTCAGTGACAGTTACTGACTTCTCCGCCGGCTCGGGTCGTAAAACAGGTCCGGATTTCTCTGCTCTGGGCCTCGGCAGTGCTGACTTGTCGGATTTTTGCGACATTGAGGCGTATAGGACGTGGCATTTTTGGTGCGGATGATAGATGAACGTTCAAGCGTGTAATGACGAGGACATGGTCCGACCCATGGGCGTTACCAGTCTCGGCACCACGCATCGATCCGCTATCGTGAACCCAGCTGCGGAAACCTGAGCTGACTGGTATGTAGTCAATCGAATTGGCCGTATGACCGTCGTTTGAATACCAAGTCAGCAGATGTTTTTAGCGATGCTGGAAACATGTGTTGGTGACAAGCAGTCGGTTTCGATCAGCGAAGTTCAGCAATCTCTCACCATTTACGCATCGGGAGTGAAGCCTAAAGCGGCAAAGAAGATGACTGGTTGTGGGGTCGCCAGGTCCAGTTCGACCATTCGAATCGCCAATATCAATCAGCAGATCGCGGTTGGGCAGTATTTCAACTAGCGTTTGCAACTGAGAGTAAAAGGCGTCTTTATCGCGCTGTTCGGCAGCCGAAATTGGTTCGTACACAGAGACGATTGAGATGTTCGTGAAATGGTCCTTCAATCGCACGTAAGCCATCCGGTCATTGGCTGGTTCCCAAGCAAGTAGCGCGAGGTAAAGTGTGATTCGACTCCCGATATCTTTATTTCACCGTAGCCTGAGTCAGGGAGTCGAAATTCAGACAGACAGCAGACACCCACGTTTTACTGATCAAGGCTGTGTGCGGTGAGCCTTTGGGTAACGTTCGCACATTCCAGCATCCAATACCGAGAGTTCGTACAAGATTGAGTAGTCCAGCTCGCATACTTTTCGCCAGCATCACTGGACCAGGGTTGCGGAGCGCGTCGGTTCCCGCGGACGCCGTAGCATGGGTCGTGAGGTTTCTGGGGAATTTCGAATACGGGCGGGTCCCCAACAGCCGCTCGGAATTTTTGCTGGAGGTTGTCGCCTCTAGCACTTTGGCTTAAAAGCCTAAACGCAAGGCAGCGGCGGCAAGTAAACTTATTTAATGGCGGTTTACGGTCGTCATGTCACAATGCCGTCATTGGGTTTCGCGGCTTTTTATAAGGCTTTCAGCGTGCCAGACCTCAGCCCACCACACCCTGGTAGCAATGTCGCTGCTGGTCCACGACTGTTTATTCGTCAGACCTGGGTCTCCTTATTTCGCAGCTAACCTTCATTAAAGGTTGTTTCACTGTCCGCCACCTGTGGACACGCCGGGTAGCCAGCAGCTAGGCTAACCGGCAACCCGTCTTCCCGAGGCAACCCGTCTTCCCGGGTCTACATCAGCATCCACATCGGCTCCTGAAACACTTTCGATTTCTCAAAATGTCAGCAAAATTAGACGGAATAGCAAACCTGTCATTCAGTCTGGCAAGCCGCTTATTACCAGACAGTAGCCTCCATAAAATTATTTCTTGTGACTATTTTGTGGAGGAGTCCCTTTTACGTCCAAGGACTCTTAGACTGACAGAATGATTTCGGTAAGTTTTTGCCAAAATTGTATTAACAGGCTGGCAATCATTAACACATTCATTCACAGTTTTGTAAGGTAGATATAGCTTAATCTACCTTCGAATATTTAAAGAATGCAGAAATAGTTTTTTAGATGCAGGTCTAAATGACATTTGTATTATACGCATTGTCTCCGTAACATGACAGTACAATTACGATACCAGCATCCGGTTGCGCGCACATACAATACATTCAATAAAAAACTTTCTTGCAAAATCATTTTTGGTTCAGCAGGAATTATGCTGCGTAGTACTAGTGTAAGCTGTCAGATAAAGTGATGTTAACTGACATACGACGTGCGACTTGAACAGAGATCGCTTAGTCATTGTACCTTGGGTATTTAAACGGGCAATAATCGGAAACGCCATCGTTACTCTTCTAACAGGGGAAACATTATGCAGGTGTTTCACCGGTCGGACTGCGGAAAGCGGGGAAAATAGAAGAAATCAAAAAGAAAACGCACTTGCTAAAGGAAAATAAGCCAGTGTGTTTTACTGGACATTAAAATAACCAGGTAAGCAGCGTGAAATATATAAATTCTCTGTCGGTTAGCAGAAAAACAAATCCAACTGCCATAATGATTAGTGGCCGGCGACAGTCATCAAAACTTAACCGCCCAAAAATAAAAGTTATCGGGAGTTGATGTTTACTGATCTAAATCCTTACACTGACCTTACACACCGATGCCAACATTCAGGTTTAAAACGGAACCCTTACCCTTCGCCCTTACTCGAGTTCGGGTGCCATTATCTAAGCCTCACCGGTTACACTAAGACTCCGTGAGATTCATGTCGCTTGGTAAAGTGCGGTAGTTTGTGTGATCCCATTGAGTTTAATATGTATAGATGGCTACTATGTCTGCTTCAGCAAACCTTGTTTAGTTTACCAATTAACGGCTACCCGATGCCGCATTGTGAGTTTTACCCAACCAATAATGTGACAGTTAAATTCACTAGCGAAATCGCATTTTCAAATCTCACTTTTAGAATCAAACCGTCTCCTCGACCAGTGGAGTTGCAGGTCCATTGGACGACGCCTCCGCCATCTGTTGAGACAGTTTGTCTGTTATGGAATGCCGCACGTCAAGGAATAATACATTTCCAAATACAGTCAAGTGAACCCTCTTACCCCTGTAATTTCTCAAGCATCATTGTAAAATAATCTGATTATTGTTTATTTAATAAAACTTGTTTTAACACACTTATTCCTCCATCGTCTGTGTTGGGGGGCATCTATGTGCAAAGAAGGGCTGGTGGGGCATGTGGAAGTCATAGAGCATGAAAAAGTCTGCCTTCGTTTAATAATGGGGATAATTCGCAAATTCATAAGGAAAAGGACCTGCAGACGGTACTAGCTCTGTGTTGCCTAGATGTTTTCTCGATTCACGACCACGCATGGCGTTATCGATCGGCTGCAGGTTTCATTTTTCAGTACGCAACGAAGAGAGGTGACGGTGGTTGGCATTGGCTGTGGAAGCTAGCGCTTATGCTTGTGGTAGTCGTTGTTGGCGTAAGGCAAATAACACTAATTGCCTGGTGTCCATGGCCAATGCATAACCTGTCGGGTTGAAACAGATGCGAAACTACCTTGGGGACTCCCCCACTGCAAGGAATAGTCCCGAAGATTTCGGGTTATTCTTCTTGTGACCGCCGCCTGTTTACATTGCTTGATAGAGTAGCTTGGGTAATCATTGTCCCGAAAGCGGTCATAAAGCCGCTGTCGTTCAGCAAATGTGTTGTCTAGTGTGTTTAAACTCTTTGAAAAAGAGCACGGGCGCAGCTGCGTTTGTGGATAGACCACGTTGCATTCTCTTCAGACTGACACATTGAATCTCCCATTGTACAAACCTGGTTAAGCCTCGTCTTCAAAACTTTACGTTACTGTGTTGATCTGAAGATAGACTATGAAGAACAATGGCATTGGAAATTGTGGGACTCATACTGCTTTTGGATGTCCGTTCATTTCCGACGTCATACATGTAACTAATTATGTAGTTCACAAATTACAAAAAATGGGTTTGTATATCAATCGGAAGATTGGCATGGCTATTATTTTTGAGGTTTATCATTTGTCTAAGGACATTTCAAAATTTCTAAGCCAAAAATTCCCCATTTACGGCAGTTGAGTCATCAGCCGAAGAACACAATTACGACTTTTTCTGATTTCTTGTCCAGTAAATGACTAAAAATACTTTGGTAGCAACACACATTTTCCACTTAATCGTAACCATCAAGGGTAGCCTCTAAATTAAAATATTTGAAACTTCATGTAGAAACATGTAAAACTAACTATGCGTCCAATGCGCATACAGTGCTTTAACTGTCGCCTAATTAATAGCGAAGACTGTTGCATCCGTAAAATTTCTGTTTTGCCTGCCTGATCATTCCTTTGAAAAATATGAAAATATATGTTGCCGATTTATCTATTAATCACGATATTTGAGCAGAATTGTTGTCATAATTGAAGAATGTTTAGTCACCCATCGTGTGCCAAAACCACTTTACGATTTACCCAATACGGCAAGAGCCTTTACCGAGAGAGTTTGACTAAAATGAAGGGTAAATTAAATAGACATTGTGATGTAGAAATAAATGCCATAGTAACCTAGACTAGGCATCGTGGAATAAGGAAATATTAATGGCACAATGGCAGTCATCATAGCATTTCATTCTTCGCGGTAAATAGCTTCAGAGCGGCAAGCCTACAATGGGAGTGGCTACTTTCGCCGAAAAGACGGATTGTAAGATGTCAAACGCATTAACCTGGTGAGCAAGATTTTTTGCGAGGGTGTTCTCGTTAGCAGAATAAAATGGGACGTAAGATTAATCTCACAGTCAAACCAGACGTGCTGCTGGATTCAAATACTCTGCCGGCCGAATAAGGGCATATAAATGTCATGCAGATCTTACAATTTGAAAGAGTTTCCACTTCGTCCGATGTTCTAGCTCACAATGCGACTCTATCCTATAGGGTGAGCAAATATCTGTATGGTATGTCGTTGTCAGTCTTGGTAGAAGTGGATCTTATATTGACCGGACTGTGGAAAAACTCGGCGCCTTGGTGAATTTTGTACTTACGACAGCGAGGAGAGGCTTTAGTACAATCACTGCTCTAGGCAATTGGGATACGAGGACACTTGGTCTCCCAATTCGATGGGCGAGTTTATCCTGCAGTTTATATAAGGATCAGTATGGCTTCCGATGGTGGTTGACTTAACAATTGGGGAGGCTGTAAACTTGCAAATTTTATGTTTTTGAAGACCGTCGCTGAGGCATAACTTGCGTCGACATTCTTATATCTGCAGCAGATAGTAGTGCGAGAATAGGTACGTTTCGCGACATTTCTTTGACTGCCTATTTCAAGCACAGTCTCGTATGTACAGTCCTGGATTTTACTGAGAAGTGCACTAGTCAGATTTTTTGAAGAGATGAACAATGAATAGGCTTACCGGGCAATTTCTGTACCATAATTGATCATCCTATTCATTCAATCGGCTTACTTTAGTTGTATATATTAGGCAGATGACAATTAGCACACTTGTAGTACTTTATAACACAATTTCTGTGAATTCTTTTCAATATTTTACTGAAGACTAACAAGAGATATTTGCCAAATTTGCACACATTTTAGGTTGTTATGGCCGGAGGAATTTGCTGAATATACAACGTATAATACTCGCTCAAGAATAATGTTTATCTTTCAAATACACCTGTCCCACGCATTTGTGGAAAGTTCGGTTTTCTTCTTACACAACTAAGCATATTTGTTACGGCTGGTGTTATATGACTAGCTGTAATATTTTAATCTTCTCTTGACCGTTACACGCATTCACATTGTGCATTTGAACACAGTAATGTCTATTTGGCACCGAAGGAAAACAGTTTGCGTCGTTTATGACTGTGAAATCATAATGAAACCAGGTAAATTCATTCGAAAAACGATGATTATTAAAAGTAATGCAATCATTCGGCCAAATTCTGGAGTTCAGCCATCCGGAATACGGACTTCAAATTTTCATGCCTAGTTAATAACAATTATGAACATTTCAAGGGTTGTGAATATAAATTTGAAAAGGTAAGTGAAATATGCATCTGTCAAAGAAACAGAATTAAACTTGAAACTTTAAACCCGCAGGGATTGGCTGAAACCAATTGCATAAACTCTTCGGTGAACGGTTAAATATCTTCTAAAGGAAAATAAACTAAGATATCTGAAGCGGAGTATACACCAACCACGATCCCAGGAAGTGTGCCGGATATATATAACAGTTGTGCATGAAGTTGAAGGTAGTCACTGGCCGGTCACGTGGCTGACTGCGCAGGCACTGATTGTTACTCGGTGACACATACGGACACCTCTTTCTCCGCCAACAATGCGTACTTTCGTTTCACCCTCGGTGTGTTTGCCGAAGTTGACGTTTGAGTGACATTCATTCCTGACCTCATTCCCGTCCTGAACTTTCTGTGTTCCTCTAATACTTCTGCCACAGTCCATCAAAAGAAGAAAGACCGATAAAGTCCAAGGGCAATTTCGCATTCCTCGGGCTCCATTCTTTCGGGGGGAGGGCATGTCCAATGCACCGATTGACGTTAAACGCTTCGCGCGTTGCACTGCGTCTTTAATCCACATTAGGTCGCGGTTATTCGTGCCGTCTATAATTTTTTCTTATAAACTGAATTAGGTTGATTGTGCACCCTCACGACAGAAACTGCAACCTGAAAAATCTCTTTGGTTGAACGCATTGCAGTGCCATGAGGAGAAAAGGCATTCACTGAGGTGGGTATATTGGAGGCCTGACTTTCGGGTAGTAAATTCGCCCACCCATGATTAGAGACTAGGAAGTCATGCTCACAGTTCTAATTATATGACGCACTTTGTGTGATGTTTAGCCTAGCACAGTTGCCTTTGTCACTTCATTCAAGCCACGATTCTTCGTGACCGTGATCACCCCCGGCCTCGTTGACTTCGGGGACAATCTGCGGCGTCACTGTCCCTCGTCAAGACGTTTCGTAGAACTAACTAAGTTGGGGCGCAATTGAGGTTGCGGCTGAAAGAGCAGTCGGCAGATACCCAGGCTTCCTTCACCCCCCTGCTGAATGATCATTCCCTCGGACCAGGATCTCAACGTCGTCGAAGTTTAAAACGTGCACCACTTGCGCGGCATGGATTACCACGTCCAAATTTGGGTCAAACATTCGCACGGCCAAAAGCCACACGGAGGAATCTGGCGAGTAACACATTCTCGATAGTGCTGTGCAATGTGTCCGGATTAGTCCACAGGGTCATGTTAATAATTTTTAGGTCAGATGAACGTTGGTACTGTATTAGACGGTAATGGATGGTCTGGAGAAGGAAGCATACAGTAATTTGTATTTCCGCAGGGCTTAATGTGTGGGCCCTATTGAACTGCTGAGAGCATACAGAATTTTTCAGGGGGTTCGTATTTTCCGTCCAATCTTCTCGAAACAATTGCACTGAGTCCCTAATGCAGACGGATTTCTGAGAGACATTTTTGGTTTCCCTCGCTCAACGCCAGCTTTTAACTGCTAGTACGATCTGTCACACTAACATATGCCACTTTTAACTGCCTGTATAATCTGCCATACTAAGATAAGTCACTGGATCCGGTTAGGATACACTTCCTCTAATGTTTTGTGGATAGTCCCGCAGAAGCAAATGTCATCCAACGACATTGATTTCCCAGTGGATATCGCCAGGCTATCCGTCTAAACGACAGACTGTCTATCCATTCCAATCTGAGCAGTCATCTCTCGCACTCTCTATCTCTCTCAAAAGCCCCTTGGAAATCGAAGGTAGAGGTGAATCAGGAAATTCGGAAATGATTCATGCTGTGAATATATCATTTACGAATTGCGAAAATTACCAGACGATAATTATAACATGCAAATATCGTGTGGAACATCTATGCTTCCGAATTAAATGTACGGATTTCTACTAATTATTGACTGAAAACGTATATTGCATGCAATCACAAAACGCTTTCTTCCATAATCAATATAGGGAAAAATTTATGAGGTTTAGATTTGCCAAATATGCTGACAGATAAAGAAGTATTCAGGAGATAAACGATGTAGAATGCGCAATTCACACCCACCGGCTTTATTATAGGATGCCGTGAGTTATAATGCACTTAACCCCACCTTACTGGAATCTCGAATCTATCAATTCAAAAATCTTGACACATCCGTTCATACGCAAATAAGTACTTTCCCATTTACAAATTTTTCACTGCTAAGGCGTGGGACCACTGGAATTAATTCAAATCAAACATATTAACACAAAAGACTGCTGTTTGCAAATGTACATCATTCTGAGTCAGGAGGCAAACGCCAAACGCAGGTTCAGAAGATGACCTCAAAACCGAGCATCTATCCCTGGGCAGATTGGCACAAAATCCACACTTCCACGCTGGCCATTCAACTTCGGCCTGGACACGATCGATAGCAGCCAGCCGTTCAAACGCGGCACACTCAGCAAAGCGGACAATATTGCGAATGACTGGACCCTCTGCACAAAGGCTGATGACGCCATTCATCGTTATTCTCGTTTGCAGTGTTTTATTCAACCCACTAATCGAATCAATTATGGATTTAATATCATGCCTTCAATGCGGTGAGTACTCTACTCTTCTATGCTTTTCATGTTTCCCACGCAATTTGCCTATCAATAGCTATTAGATTCCTATGTGCAGATCCAGGCCATGCAATTATATGTGGAAGTAGTAGTCATTTAACAGACTGCATGTTCCTCTTCCATTGTAGGCATTGATTTCGCCCTCGTTTCATTGTTGGTTTTAATTTCTGCGTTGATATGTTTATTGCTACTACAAGATGTCTTCTTCACGTTATACAAATGCATTTCCGATTCCTAGAAGTACAAACAAATACAAGACCGATATTCGACATGGAATCGTCCCACACACGACCACAACAGAAGGTAGGAAAACCATGTTCATGTCTTGGAATAGGTAGTGTTCGTTTTTTGAAGGAAGTGCTTGGGAAATCTTGAGTCTGTTTGGAAACAATTTCCTCATTTCAGGTACGAAGTTTGTCCGACAGAAATTTGCCCAGTCGTCCAAGACATTGAAACGACAAGCAGACATGATGGCTCCGCCGGCTGTGAAGTGGAGATGCCAAGAGATACTGGGAGCACGGTTGACTCTGACTCACCTGTACAGATGAACGCCGAGCAGTCAAAACGAAGTAAGTGTGCCAATTACTTACAGTCAGCATTGAATCGTCCACGTTGTAATTGCACTCCTTGAATTCTATTTTTCTCCTGAACTAGGACACACTGTGAAACAAACACGAAAATATACACCCAAACTCTATACTATAGAAGAAGTTTCAAAAGAGCAGGAGGAGGAAGAAGAAGAAGAGGAGTATTTTGAGAATGAGGATGTTGAGGAAGGAGAATATGAAGAAGAAGAGGATGAAATTGAAAAGATGAGAAATGACGGACTCAGCGAGGAAAGCAAGGAGGAGCAAGTGAAGGCCGACAAAGTGGAGGAGGAGGAGGAGAAGAGAGAGTGCGAGGTGGCGGACAGTGAGGAGCAGGTGGAAGCAGGGCGGTTGGTGGTTGAGGAAGAAGAGGGAGTAGTCGGAGAAACAGTTGAGGATACGAGGCAAAATGTGGACGAGAATGTAAAAAAGGCCGATGAAACTAAAGAGATGACGGCGTCTAAACGGGATGCCATGCTCTACAGTCAAAAACCCTCAAAGATACTGGACGCATCAGAGAGGAAAATGCAAACCGAATCAACGCTTGCCAACACAACAGCCAGACATGAAGGCTACGGTGTGACCTCAACTTCTGGAGACGTTTTGCAGCAGTTAACGAGAGCTGAGAAGTGGGCCATGTGACGGCACGTTGCTCATAGGAGAAACGTTTGCGCATCGGCAGGTTGGTCCATGATTCCTTTGCTGTCATGCAAGTGTCCTTCATGATTTGCCTTAGTCTTTTTGTTGGTCTCTAGTGCAATCGCACTTTTAAATCTCAATTTTAGAATCAAATTGTCTGCTCGACCATAGGAGACGCCGATCCATTGGACGACGTCTACGTCATGTGTGGAGACGGTTTGTCTGTTGTGGAGTGCCGCAGGACGACGAATAAAACCTTTCCATCTGGATCCAAGCGAACGTTCTCACCCCTGTAATTTCTCACTCATCATTGTAAAATATACTGATTATTGTTTGTTCAATGAATCTTGTTTTCGCACACTTATTGGGCAATCGTCTGTGTTCGTGGTCATTCGTGTGCACAGAAGGGCTGGGTGTGGCATGCGAATGGCAGAGAACATGAAAGGTCTACTTTCGTTTACAAATGGACATAATTTGCAAATTCATAAGGAAAAGGGCCTGCAGACGGTACTACCTCTTAGTCGCCCAGATGTTTTCTCGATGTGCGATCGTTCATGGCGTTGTTCGATCGGCTACTGGTTTAATTTTTGGTTATCCATTGGTCAGAGTGAATTCACGATAGTGTTGTCGTTCAACACATGTGTTGCTGCAGTGTGCTGCAGTGTGCTTAATCTCTTTGGAAATGAGCATGGATACAGCTGCGTTTGTGATTGAGGAAGTGAATGCTGCCGTAGTGAAGCATTTTTCTTGCAGTGTCGGCCTTTACACGCCGTTTGATGCAACGTATAGACATGCTGCCATTAACTAAAACCTCAGCAGTTGTCCATTTATTGCGTTGCAACAATGGAGACTGAAACTGCGTTGGGAAACCGGGCGGAAATTGCAGAACCGCATACATGAGCACAATTCGGCAAGTCAGAGACTAGGCTTAAACTCACAGCTCGCGGCTCATACTGGAGAAAATAGTCAGATTTTTGACATTCAAGGAGCAACCACCATAAGCCTGGACACCTCAAGGACAGAGAGTGTCATATTTAAAACTTGGCACTCAGATGCCCACTCCATAAGCAGGAATCGAGACCTTCCTGCAGCCTATAAAGTCCTGCGTCACTTCATAGGCCATGACGAGGACAAGACAGTCAGAGGACAACCGAGCAAACACGGTCCGTCAACTAATTTACCTACAAAAGGAACACAAAGGCAGCCGACCACAATTGAGGTGAAAAAACACAACACAGGAGGCCAACAACATTCACAAACGGCAGGCAGAGGACGAAGAAAAAAGTTGATCAGATCAACGCCAACTTATTCGGCCGTTTATTTGAAATTCTTGTTGATTTTCGCACGGAAACGTCAGAAATGCAATAGCCTTGATCCGGTGTGCCCTTCAATTTTCTAAAATTATCGACCCGGATCTCTTTCCTTCGCCAAAATGGTGTAAATCATACAGGTGAGAAACTAATCCGCCAAACGCTCAGCAGCTTTTTAATTGGACAACAGTGCTGGTAACCTTGACAAAATGAGACGATTAAGCATTTAGAACAGAAAATACAAGCTTCTCGACACCGTTAGAGAAAACAAAATTTAATCATCTTCAAATCGAAGCGAGTTACAGAAGGCCGTTCAGAAGAGGAAGTACATGTGATCGCCAGAACAATAAACCTGTTTTTCCTGGCGTTTCTGATTCTTACTCGAACCCATCATCAGAGACTTCTGCGGGTAAAGGTAGTTGAGGCACAAAGACTGTAGTATATGAAGCACGCTGTTGCTACGGGATCACGTGAGTAATATAATAAACAGTTCTCGCGATCAGTCAGGATGTCGTAATGGAAGCGATGATGGCTTGTCAGGCCCGCAATCCATCCACAAGCGTAATGTCCTCCCGGTACCTTTTCGTAACCATCAATGGTAGTCTATATTTATGAATGTTTGGGACTTCATAAAGGAACACGAAAAACTAATTAAGCGTCCACGGCGCATACAGGACATAAGAGATGTCAGGCGGTATAACAGGAAATTAAGGGGTTGGACAATTAACTGCCCGCATATTATTAGTGGAAAATGTTGCGTTCCTAAAACTCTTGTTTTACGGACCCATTACTTAAATGTTTCGTGTGACTGATCTCTCATTTGAAAATATGAAAAAGCTATGTGGCCGATTTATCTATTGCTCACTAAACTTGAGAAGTAAACTTAACAGTATTGAAGTTTGCTTTTGTCTTTGATTATAAATGTTTCAGACTTCTTAGAGGAACACGAAAAACTAATTATGCGTCCACGGCGCATACAGGACAGTAGAGAGATCAGGCGGTATAACATGACATTAAGGGGTTTGATCTTTAACTTTTCATCTATTAAATAGCAAATAATATTGCGTCCCAAAATTCTTGTTTTACAGAACTACTACTCAAATGTTTCACGTGACTGATCTTTTTCGTGCAAAATATGAAACATATATGTGGCCGACTTTTCTATCGATATCAATATTTGAGCAAAAAAGTTGACAATATTGAAGGATGTTTGGTCACCCATCGTGTGCTAAAAACCACTTAGCCATTTACCTAACAAGGCAGAAGCCTTGACCTAGAGCACTCGACACGAAAGCAGCAGCCCGTCTAGTTGGACTGTGAGATTACTCTTACGTGCCGCAGTATCCTGCTTGCGAAAACACCCTCGCGTAAAATCATGCTCACCAGTTTAATGCTTTTGACATCTTAAAATCCCGTCTTTCCTGCGACATTAGCCACAATGTATGCTCACAATCTAGGCCAGGGGCGCTGAAGCTTTTTTCCGCGAAGAATGAAATGCTATGATGACTGCCTTTGTGCCACTAAGATTTCCTTTTCCCACGGTGCCTAATCTAGGTTTAACTGGCCTTTATTTTTATATCACATTGTCTATTGAATGTACGCCTCATTGTAGTCAAAAGGTCTCAGTCTAGCCTTCTGCGTTATTCGGTAAATTGCTAAGTGGTTTCCAGCACACGATGAGTGACAAGGCAAACTTCAATTCCGTAAATTTTCTGCCCAAATGTTAAGATCAATAGATAAATCGGTCACAATTCTTCTTCAACTTTTCTAAATGAGAGATCAGTCACACGAAACATTTCAGCAATGCGTCTGTAAAACGAGAATTTTAGGAAAGCAACATTACCCGCAATTAAAACGGCGGGCAATTAATTGTCCAACCCCTTAATTTCATATTATACCGCCTGAAATCTCTACTGTCCTGTATGCGCTGTCGACGGATAATTAATTTTACGCGTTCCTTTATGAGGTCCTAAGCATTTTTAATTATATGCTGCCTTTGATGAATATACATAAGTTAAAGAACCTTTCTTAAGTCTTTTACTGGCCGAGAAATCAGAACAATTGTAATTTTGTTCGTAGGATTCTGGCTTAACTACCGAAAATGGGGAATTTTCAGTTTAGAAGTTTTTAAATGTCTTTCGACCAAGGATGAAAGTCAAACGTAATAGGCACTTTAATTTTCGAAGTGATATGGAAACCAAAGTTTTTATAATTCATAGGCTCCATAAAAACTTACAGGATATACATCGGTATTGAACCAACATTTAAAAGCCGTAGGAGTCTAGCAAGTTTCAATACCACTGCTCTTCATAGTTTATCTACAGATAAACACACTTATGTAAGATCATGAAGCCAACAATGGATCAGGTTTCTGCAATGGCGAATTCAATGTGCAAGACTGAAGAGAAAACAAGGTGGTTTATCCGAGAATATTAGATTATTGGGGTTGCACATGTAGCCTACAAATTGCAATACCAGTTGTTTAAATGGGGGGTTAAGAGTTGGAGAAGATGTAGAAGGAATAAAAAAAGAAGACTAAAAAGAAGAGGAAGAAGCGGGATTAGTGGAACGTTGAGGAGGAAGGAGGGAGAGAGGAACCGGAAAACGGGAAGAGACCAGGAAGAGAAAGAAGAAAGTGAGTAAGTGTGCAGGAGGAAAGGGATAAGGAGCAGGAGGAGGAGGAAGAAGCGAAACAGTGGTGTGTCGGAGTTATAGTTCTTGTTGCAAGGATTACGGTTTCATAGGCGGACGCAAAAATCGGCCTTGGTGGCCGCACAGGCTGCTAAAATAACCAGACAATCCATCTATGTCGCCGTTACTCTCTGATGTGACCACCTCCTCATAACCCTATGACAACCAACGGAATCCTAAGAGTAAGATATTAAATAGTAGTGAATTGGAAAGCTATCTCATGCGAGTGTGGTGCACCGAGCTATGCTATCTACAGCCGTCAGGCTTCATGACTTCGGCTCGACAGCGGATGCGTACGGTGGATTAGGCGAGGCATACAAGACTGTTATACATTTCCGACGCACTTGCTGCGATCATGGTCGGTGTATACTCCGTCCCAGATAACTGAGTTCCTTTTCTGTTAAGGAATATTTAACCATCCACTGAACAGGTTTCCGTTTCTGTCGAGAGAGTGCAAAATCAACCTATCTCAGCATATGAGGGAAAATTATAACAACGGCACAAATTGTCGTTAACCGATATATCTTGAAGGCGCATAGCAGTGCGCGAAGTCCTTGACGTCAAAGGGGACCACTAACATTCACAAACGACGGTTACAGTGCCAAGGCAGTAAAAGAAGAAAAAAGTTGATCAGCCCAAGTCCAAGTGATTCGACCGTTCATTCGAAATTCTGATCGATTTTTGCATTAAACGACTTGATAATCGGGAGCTGGACAAGCTACCCGAAAAGTCGGCAATGGAATACACTTGACTCATACCGCACGTCAGTGTTTTCAGATTATTGACACGGATCCCTTTCGATCAAGGCGCAGGTATCATCCGCATACCGAACCCAAAATTTCGATCTGTCGCTCCCGTCCGGTAGAGGATTGACTCAACTGGTGCAATCATCTTGGCAGGTTTGGCAACAGCTGTCTTAAATGAGGCCTTATGCCTTAAAACCTGTACGTGTTCCTCCGTCAGCTCCTTTGACTACAGTCTGTGCACCAGTTTGTTGTTCTCGGATGACGTTGGAGTAGACAGATTACGAAATTGGTTCTCTAGTGCGACTTTGCTTGTCGCTCTCTATTCGCGTTTTCGTTCGGTCACACTCTTTTAAAGCAGTTTCGTACCGTTCTCGTCAATGAACTCGCACCACAGTTCCTTCTCTTGGTCACTTCTCTGACGCTATTCGTCAAGCCTTCAGCGTCAGTCCTGAGCGAGCACTTGGATCATTCCCCTGCCATGCTGGAATCCTTTACGTCCCGCCAGATGTGTGTTAACCTGAGTTTTGTATGAAGCACACTTAGATAACATATTATTGTTGAGAAACCTGTGCAGAAACAGAAGCTGCGCATATGTAGACGACTCCCGAAAGGTCAATGTTTCCCATCGTCGAGCCAATCGGAGCGCATCGCGTCCACAAGGATTGTCAATAGAAGAGGACAGGCTAGATCCAGGAAGCAGTTCCGAGCTGGTGCAGGTGCAGACATAGCAACAACGTCGGAGAATTCAAAGGATTACGTTCTACGCGGATGGCTGAGCACGCAGCAGCAGTGAGTATAAATGACGATAACTCTCAATCGGCTGCTCATTCTAGGGAACCCGGCTATATTTTCAAGTTCCAAGCGAGCGAAATCCTTGCAAGACGCGACAACTGCGTGAACCGGGAGCTGCCTGAGTCATGGTTTCCTGGGCCCCTGTCCATCAACAAGTGCAACTACAGGAAAGCTTGCTCCGGTCGGGAATGGTTGACCATATTAGGAACTGTAGTATATAGCAATTGTGCAAAATAACCACCGATTACAATATATGCACAAAATGCACTCATCGATCTTAAATCACCTTCTCCACAAAAGCCTACCTACGAACTTAATGAATCCAGCGGTTCAGTCATTTTTAATTCGCATCTCACAACGTACATGCTTCACCTAATAAATTCACTTACTAACGACGAATATCACATTTGCCAATTTTTGCCAGACTGACAACAAGGGTATTAGATAACCGCAAAGGCATGTGGGTCGCGCTGATATTTTGCATCTGCTTCCCCAGACTTCCCCGTGCTTTTTTCATGTAAACTCAAAGCGAATTCTTCAATGATTCTCTCTCTCTGTCAAACGTCCCTTGGAAATGGAAATCGCAGGTGAATAAGCAAATTAAAATTGACTAAAGCATTGGCTGTTTCTTTAATATACACAGACATGTCACATTTGAGAAAACTGCCAGCGATAACTGGAACATGAAAAGATTGCATCAACCAGCGCCACCCCCAAATACAGGCCAAGAATTTTGACTAATTTCTCATGAACCAAAATACCTCAATTACTAACATGCATCAAAGTCCACATACAGCATATTTAAAAAAAACAGAGGCTTTCAAAATCACATTAGGGTAATATGCTGTGAGGTGGCGATTTGCCAATGTAATCTGTCACGCTAAGTGATAGGAACACACGGTCAGGATTCTAATCTAAAATACCCAATGCGATACATAAAGTGCAGCTCCAATCCACCGGCTTTATCCTAGAATGGCATCTCTTATCGAGAACTCGGTAGCATACACCTAGGATCTCCAAGCTTTCTCGACAAAAACCATTGCATAACTGTTCATTCGCGAAGTAGATCTTTCTCATTTAGAATTCGACTGACATACATTAATGTGCTTGGAGCCCGCGAATGCACACGAGGCTGGTTCAGCAGTAAAATGCCCTACTTAGAAGACTTTTAGGGAACCGAGTTTCTGTCCTTGGGCACACATGCACGAATTCCGCGCTCCCACTATGACAATTGAACTGCGGTCTGATCACGATCGATACTGCTATCGGACATTCAAACGCAGCACACTCAGCAAAGCGCACAATGGCGCGAATCTATAGGCTCAGTAAAGGTTTGCTGGTGATGCGTGTTAGCGTGCTCTTCGTTGGTTGCATTTTATCCAACCCGCTGATCAATGCTCTCATGAATTTCGTAATTAGCCTGCAATAAGGTAAGCACCTTCCCTTTTATGCTTTCCCTTTGTCTATCAAAAATTACCTATCAGTAGCTCAAAGATTTCTGTGCGTATATCAAGTTCATGCATTTAAATGTGGAAACAGAGGTCGCTTTATCGACTGCTAGGCAGATTTCTCATCTGTTCGTAAAGGGTTCCTTTATATCAGGCATGCCGTCAGATCGACAAGCGAATGTCCAATTGTGGAAGACAGCGAAGCAGTATGTACACCTGATTGTTATGGCGACTGTGAAATTGAAGTATTAACGTCTACTGAAATAAGTACATCGTTTTTGAATAGACGTCAAAACTGCTAGGCATTGCATTAATAAAACCTACGAAGATTTTTTCAGGCCTCCACTGACCAACATGCCGTCTCTTTGCCCATTCCTCGGCTCGCGTTAACTGCTGTGACACGTCCGCAGAGGCTGATTCCGTTTCTCCCACGGTATTTCTGACTTGTGGGTTTGCAAGCGTTTCTTCGACTTTCATAATATTCTGTGGAGCGTCAAATTGCTTGGCAGAGTAGAGCATCACTTTGAGGGCATGCTATGGGAAGTATTTCATTGTATGTCTCTGGTACGGAAATGTGTTTGTATAACCTGAAGGATAAATCTTGGCTTTGCAATGGAGAGATCAACGTAGCACTTAAAACAAACAATGCAAAGATGCTTGCAATGTAAGATGCGCATGCAGTCGATAAAGCGACCTCTGTTTCCACATTTAAATGCATGAACTTGATATACGCACAGGAATCTTTGTGCTACTGATAGGTAATTTTTGATAGACAAAGGGAAAGCATAAAAGGGAAGGTGCTTACCTTATTGCAGGCTAATTACGAAATTCATGAGAGCATTGATCAGCGGATTGGATAAAATGCAACCAACGAAGAGCACGCTAACACGCATCACGAGCAAACGTCTACTGAGCCTATAGATTCGCGCCATTGTCTGCTTTGCTGAGTGTGCTGCGTTTGAATGTCTGACTGCAATCGAGCAGACACAATTCGAAGTTTCTGGGTTACCAAAATTAAAGTGCCGTGGACGGAGAAGACGAGGATGAAATTGAAAAGCCAAGATATGGTGGGCTCGGCGAGGGAAACAGCGAGGAACAAAAGAACTCGGAGGAAGTGGAGGAAGAGAAGAGTGAGCGTAAGCTGTCGGCGAGTGAGGAGCAGGTGGAGGCAGGTCAGGAAGTGGAGGAAAAGATACACAAAGTGGTCGAGGTGGGAAAGAATGAGGAGGAATCGAAGAAGATAGCGGATTCGAGGCCGTATGCGATGGTTAAATGTCACCGGTCTGCCAATCTACTTGACGCCACACAGAAGACGACGAAAACTGAAAGAATTCATGGAGAGTCGCCATTAACCTCCGGGGTTGTCCCAGCAGTTACTAAGGGCTGAGAAATAGGCAGTGAGGCGTCATGTTGGTCAGTCGAGGGACGTTCATGTATTGCTAGGTTGGTCCATGATTCCCCTACAGTCATTCAAGCGTCCTTCATGCTCTCCTTTAGTCTTTTTGTTGTTCTCTAGCGCAATCGCATTTTCAAATCTCAATTTTAGAATGAAACAGTCTGTGCAACCAGAGGAGGCGCAGGTCCATTTGGCGACGCCTACGTCATTTGTTCAGATGGATTGTCTGCCTTTGGAAGGTCACACGTCGAGCAATGGTACCATTTCAACTAGAACCACGCGATCCCTTATTCCCCTGCAGTTAAATGTACATTTTTGTAAAATATTCTGATAACTGGTTGTTCAATAACATGTATTTTTACACACTTATTGGGACATACTCTGAATGTACGGGCGGGCATGGCGTTGTTTGATCGGCTACTGGTTATATTCTTCCTTCAATCGTTACATGAACGCCGACCAGATTCGTCTGAGAGGCAGAGGCCGTTGACATTAGTTGTGGTGCCGGCGCTGATGCTGACGGTAGTCGTGCAGGCGTAAGGCAAATGACATAATTTTGGAGAAAATGGTCGTCAGTAAACCACATTTGCTTGGTGATCATTTGGTAGCTGCTACAGGTGCAAAGACACACGGAAGGAGGAAAATGTTGTTTTAAGGAAGACAGAAGTCATTGGAACTAAAAATAAAATGTTCGTTTAAGGAATCTAAATCAGCATCCACATCTGCTCCTGAAACACTTAAGATTTGTCGAAAAGTCAGCAAAATTAGACAGCATACCAAACATGTCATTCAGCCTGATAAACCGTTTTTACCAGACCTTAACGTCCCTAGAATTATTTCTTGTGTCTACTTTGTAGAGGAGTAACTTTTTACGTCCAAAGAATTTTAGACGGCGAGAATGATTTCTGTCCGTTCTTACCATAACCGTATCGAGTAGATGGCAAATATTAACAATTTCATTCAAATTGTACTAAGGTAGCTAGTGCTTAAATCTACATTCGAATGTTTAAAGAATGCAGAGGGCGTTTATTAGATTCAGGTCAAACAGACATATACATTCGTATTCTGCGCGTCGCCTCCGTAACATGACAAAACATTTACGATACGAGCATCCGGTGGCACGCACAAACAATACATTCAACAAAAAACTTTCTTCCGAAAACATTTTTTTGTTTAAGCAGGAATTAGGTTGCGTAATACCAGTGTTAACTGTCAGATAAAGTGATATTAACTCAAGTACGTCGTGCGACTCGAACAGGGATCGTTTAGTCATTGAACTTTAAGTTGTTAAACGGGCAAGACTCGGAAACGCGATTGTTACGCTTCTAGCAGGGGAACCGTTATGCGGGTATTTTACCGGTTGAACTGTGGAAAGCGGGGGTAAATATAAAAAATCGAAGAGAACGTGTACGTCATGACTTATATACATCTTCTAGACTTCTTCTGCGTAGTCCCTCGTACATCCAATAATGCGACAGCTGAATTCACGTAAGCTTATTTACTAACAAGCGGCCGTTAAATGGCGCCCAGAAAGTAGCCCTTTGCGAACCCTGTTCGGTAAACTATTTCAAAGGATTTGCTTCCGTAACATGAGATATCGAAATATCGCACGCTTGCTTTAGGCCATGGCTGTCCAGGCCAAACCACCGACGATACTGAACCCCGTCTATGTGGGCCCATGTTGTTCGATGAGAAACCAGAGCTCTAGACCATTCGTCCCATTCAACTCGGACGTACAGGAATGCGTATTCATTGGTATGCAGCCTCAATACTTGCTGGCACATTTGGCGTTCATATTGGGATTTTGCCGCACTACACAGCAGTCCACTTGATTGGCAATACTCGATTACTTGCGCCGAGTCTATAGCTTTGATTGTTTCCTCCTCTTTTGTCAGGAAATCAAGCTGCGGCTGTTTCACTCTTCTGTGAGTTGGAGCCCAGGTTTTTTTTCTTATCCCGCGAACACACGTAACACTGAACCCAGATCAATTCAGGAGTATGCTTCTGTCAGGCATATTTGATAAACAACTGAGCTCAGCTAGAACCTTAGAGGGCAATTCACGAATCTGTTTGTTGCTCTCTAGCGAACTCGCATTTTCAAGTCTTAATTTCAGAATCAAACGGCCTACTTCACCATCACTGTCGGTTAAACAATGGCGGGGCTGCTAGTTTGAGTACACAAAGCAGATCAGACAGACATTCGAATATTTGGTAAAAAAACTGAGTGCAGATAGAACCATAAAGGGCAAGTATGATAACAAGGAAAATAGAGCTACCTTCGGGCCGCACTGTGCATCTCCTCGCGTTGGGGCGGTTTCAATGGTTTCCTACCGAAATGGCTCTGTCTATTTTTACCGACATGGCCGGAGGCATCCAGCACCACAACAGCAGGAGAGCTGCCGCAAAATGCACACCAGGATCTAAACCGCTATATCAGATCGGACGAAAGCATTGGACGCATAATGTGGAAGAATTTTCTGCTGCGCCCTTTCAACCACGTGTTATGACAGCTTGAGGATCGGAGGATGTTTCACGGTGGCCTCCTTGTCAATCTCAAATGCAGTGAAGCAATATTGTTTACTCGTGACCACTCGTCTCGGTGCCTACTGCGAAAAGCGCTTTAGAAGCAACCGCCGACCAAAATCTAAATTTCCGGAGCATGCGAACATCAGCGCTAACATCAACGGCCAATGGCTAACTCAGCGTCTCAGTTGATTGCAGCCTCTGCTCGCATACTGCATCAAGACAGTATCAAACTAGAAGCCCATCGAATAGACCGATGTTTCGGAGTGCATTGAGAGGACGTTTGGCCGACGAAGAGTAAAGTGAATAATGATCGTCTATAGGCAGTCTTCCTCTTCAGGCGGCAAATTAGGAAATTTTGAACTAAAGTTGTAAGATTCAGGCCCCCACCCAGTACATATCTAGCTAGTTTTAGAGCATCGTTGCCCACTAAAATAAAGAATGACGTAAGAAATGCGTAAAAACAAACTTTATTGAACAATCAGTACTCAGAATATTTTACACGATTGTTGGATTTATGACAGGGGTAAGAGAATTCGTGTGCATCTAGAAAGTAAGATCGTTTTCCTCGACGTGTGTTGTTCCACAGCAGACGAAACGACTCCATATATGTCGCAGGCGTTGCCTTATGGACTTCCGTCGTCGTCGTTGGTCGAGCAAGCCATTTGATTCTAAAATGGAGATGCGAGAATGTAACTGCGCTGTGGAAAAAAAAAGATTAATAGAGAGAGGGAGAGCAGGAATGACATATGGCGGGCAGCAAAGGAATCATGGACCAACCTGTCGAGGCACAGGCGTTCCTCCACTGACCAACATGCCGCCTCATTGCCCATTTCTCTGCTCGCGTTAACTGTTGTGCCACGTCCGCAGAAGCTGATTCCACTTCTCCTTCTGTATGTCTTCTTTGTAGGTTCGCAACCATTCCTTTGAATTTCATATTCTTCTGGGGAACTTCGAATGGCTTGGAATTGTAGAGAATCATATCTTGCCTGGATTCCGTCATCTCCTTCGCTCCCTCCTCCTTCTTTTCCCCCTCGTCCACAATGTGTTGTGACTCTTCAGTTTCTTCTTTGATTTGTATCATTTTCTCCTCTCCCCACCCTGCGTTCACCTGCTCCTCATTCGCCGCCACCTTGCACTCACACATATTTTCCTCTTGCGCTGCCTCCGCCTTCCTTAGTTCCTCACTGTATCCCTCGCCAAGCCCATCATTTGCCGGATTTTCACTGTTGTCTACATCTTCTGTGTCCTCAACATCTTCACCCTTCTCTTCCTCCTCCTGCTCCTCCTCCTGCTCCTCCTCCTCCTCCTCCTCCTCCTCTTCCTCCTCCTCTGACACCTCCTCAATTGTGTAGAGTTTGTTTGTTGATCGACAGGCATGGACCACAGCGTCACCTATTTTGCAGAAAAAGATATCATTCAGCGTTTTCAATAACTAAGTGAATAGACAATGCTGACAACATATGACAGACACACTTACTGCTTCTCGGCTGCTCAGCGTCACTCTGTCTTGAAGACGTAGCTTCTAATGATATCTCAGCATATCCTGCCATCTCCATTTCGCAGCCGACGGACCCATCTTGTGTAATTCCCGGCTCGCAAATCGATCGAAAGGTATTCCTGAAATAAGGAAACCATTTACGCACAGAAGCCAAATACGCCAAAAATTGCATTGAAGAAAACCTACGAGCAATAATCGAAGTCATGAACTTGATTAACTAACCTTCTCGAATAATCATAGTTGTAGGGAATCCGTGGGAATAATTGCAAGCGTATTGGATTGTGTTTATACAATTTGAGAATTAAATCGTGGAGATGTAATGAAGGGACTAACGCACAACTGAAAGTAACGAATGTAACGAGTGATAAATCGACGCCTGAAATAGAAAAAGCACAAAGAGTCAGTTAAGCAACATCGGTTATCATATTCAACTTCGTAGACTGGATCTGCGCATAGGAATCTTAAGCTACTGATAGGTAACTTTTATGAGATGCGTGATAGGTATGAAGAAGGAAAGTGCTTACCTTGTTGCAGGCTAATTAAGAAATCCATGAGAGCATTTATAATTGGATTAGATAAAATGCAACCGACGAAAAGCACGCCTATACGCATCATTCGTAAATGTTCACTGAGCGTAGTGCTTCGAGCCATTGTGCGCTTTGCTGAATGTGCTGCGTTTGAATGTCCGACTGCTATCGATCGTGACCAGACCGCAGTTCAATTGTCATAGTGGGAGCGCGGAATTCGTTCATGTGTGCCCAAGGACAGAAACTCGGTTCCCTAGAAGTCTTCTAAGTAGGGCATTTTACTGCTGAACCAGCCTCCTGTGCATTTGCGGGCTACAAGCACATGAATGTTAGTCAGTCAAATGCTAAATGGAGCAGCTCTACTTCGCGACTGAACAGTTATGCTGCAGACGTTGTCGAGATAGCTTCCAGATCCTAGGTGAATGCTTCTGAATTCTCGATAACAAATGACATTCTAGTGAAGTGGAACTGCCCTTGCTGTATCGAATTGGGTATTTTAGATTAAGAACCTGTCTGTGAGACCGTATTTTTTGTAAATTCGTAAATCGCTACCTCACAGCAGCTTACCTGCATTTTAGGTTTAAAGCATGTTTTTTTTAAATATGCTGCATATGAACTTTGATGTGTGTTGGTATTAGAAGTCTTTTATTTCGTGGGAAATTAGTCAAAATTTTTGGTTTCTATTTGGGGGTGGATGTGGTTGATGCGATCTATTCATGTTCTAGTCATCGATGGCAGTTTTCTCATCCAAGAAATATCTGCGTGTACTAAAGATACTGCCAACGCTCTCGTCAATTTTAATTAGCTTGTCCTCCTGGGTCTTCTATTTCCAAGTAACATTTGACAGAGGGAGAAACAGTTAAGAAGAAAACACGATTGCCGGGACAAGAGCTTTATTAGCCTGACATTTCGGATTCCCGCTCGAATCCATCATCAGAGACAAAACAGAGGGTGGTTCATGCATATGGGGCTGCAGTATTTATAGTATGCAGTAGCCATGCTACCGCATATCTATGACTATTCACGGCTCCCCCCTCCCTTCATCAGGGATCGTTTCGCATGGCGTGATGACCGACATTCGTGTCGTTAATCGCTGCGATTTCATCACGTGCGTTGGATGTTGGTGTGATGATTGCTCGACCATCTGACGCGTTGACTCGGGTGTTGGGAAGAGTGTTCACCAGTGCGCTTCCCACGTGGCCAATTACTCCGCCTAGACGAAGTCTCAGCACGGTGTATTGGATGGAAGATCATTGCACTTATTAATAGACTGGGGGCCAGTAAACCATGACTCAAGCAGCTCCCGGCTCACGAGGTTGTCACATCTTGCGACAATTTCGGCCTCGTCAAATTTGAATGTGTGGCCGGAACCCGTTGAGTAAGCCGCATACTCACACGGGGAAGGCTGTTTGAGCCAAAAATTGTTCGTAGCTCTCGATGGTTCGTCTGACATCTGCTCAAAATCAGCAAGACCCACGTATCTTGCGTTGTCAGCGTGACAAAAATTTGCAAAATTTCATAACCTAAGATACTAAGTTAATTTATTGGTTGAGGCATGTGCTTAGTAAGATAAGAATTAAAACTGACTAAACGCTAGACTCATGAAGCCCGTATATGCTTTTGTTCATAACGTAATTTAAGCTGTGTAGGCATGCATTATATGTAGAGATTGTATTTGGCGGTTATTTTGCACAATTGTCATATGTGTGGACCTATTCAAGTTCGCAGTATGGACAAACAGTCACGTCCAGAGCAAGCTTTCGGAATTTACTCCGGCCCCAACTATATAAATTTAGCAGATATGTCTCCACGTGACAATATTTATTTACGCTCCGTGAACAGATCACTGGTTGTCTCCGTCTGGCGTACAAAGAAAACTACAAGAAGAGTGCGGCAGAGCGCGGTTGGCAAATGTGGAACTGTTCATGACGTAGTCTAGATCCCAAATGCGAGTAGGCAGTCCTCTCGATTCGTATGCACATTCTTCCAGTGTTGCGCGAATACACATTTGTCATAACGACCCGCAGAAGGAACTGTTATTCAAGGTCTTCAATTTTCCAGTGGATAATGCCGGGCCAAGCGCAAAGACGGTATGCTGTCATTCAATTATTTATTGGCTTTTATGCTCGCGCAGGGAGCAATTTCTTGTTTTTAAGATGATTTTGCTTTAAATTTGCTCGCAAATGCCTTTGGCTACACGATTGCGAACAGGACGGAGGCCTTGCTGGGATTATAACCCACGAAAGCGGGAGAAAGCTTGGGTAGAGTCCAAAGCTCTAACAGCTGGAGCTGCACGATCACACCGAGTGCCGTGAATTCAATCACACTTTGGTTCAGCTGCCCTCCCGCCTCTCTGTAGCATCTGGAATCCACCGAATCTGATATATTGAACTGACTTCCGAAGCAGGATTTTCTAAGCAATCAATATCCAATTAACGAATAGTACTAGCCGACTCAATCAACTAGTTGCTGTCTTTGTGGATATGAATAATAAATGTTTTGCCTCAAATGAGATTAACTTTGCGGCTGCCGGTGGTACCTCGTCGTTCAGATTGCCAGAACATTGATCGCACTCAAGTCTTCTCTCTGATGATCATGGGGTCTTTTTCTACCCAGGTCATCGAAAAGTCCAAATTTGGGTCAAATTATTCATTTAAATCTATCAACAAAACCAATAAAATTCTATGGGATTATGTGCATTGGTCGACTGAGGTCGCGAATACAAGGACATCTATCATGGCGGTTACGTATGAGCGGAATAAAGGACATTACTAATCCCATTATCGCGTGTATTGCACACATCGATTACTTTTTAGACGTCAGAGAGGTAAGTCAGATGATTAGTTAGGTTCGATGCAGCCTCCCGACACCATTTTTGGGTAACCGTAGGCGCCGACAACGAGGCTACGAAAACCGGTTCTCTGTACTCAGAATAATTTAACAGAGGCCGCGCAGTAGCCACAGCAAAAACACCAAACCGACTGCCCACATAAAATCTAGTTTTCAGTAACTTCGGTTGGATTTTCTGCTTGTTTGGCTATTTGTTAACCTTAAGAACAATGCAAATGTTCAGCCTAAATATAATGTTTCTTAAACGCAGACTTATGCTCTTTAATTTTTGCAATTTTTAAATCCGAATTCGAATAATTATTTTCATCATCGAACTAGTAACTAGTTATCTGATTTATCTTTGCCATGTGCATTCGCTGGCTACAAGCACATGAATGTTAGTCAGTCAAATTCTAAATGGAGCAGCTCTACTTCGCGAATGAATAATTATACTACGTTTGTCGTCGAGATAGTTTCCTGATCCTTGGTGTATGCTTCCGAATTCTCGACAACGAATGTCATTCTAGTATAAAGCCGGTGAATTGGAACTGCACTTTTATGCATCGCATTGTGTATTTTAGATTAGAATCCTGACCGAGAGGACGTATTTGACGGATTACTTTGGCAAATCGCTACCTCACGGCAGCTTAACTGCATTTGATTTCGGAAGCATCGGTTTTTAATATGCTGCATGTGAACTTCGATCAGTGCTGGTATTGGAGGTGTCAGTACGACAAAAATTTACAAAATTACACATCGATGACAATTTTCTCTTCTACGAAATATCAGTGCCCATTAAAGGTACTGCAAGCGCTCTAGTCAATTTTATTTGCTTATCCTGCCGCGCTTATCCTTACCAAGTGATTTTTGAGAGAGAGAGAGAGAGGGGGAATTCACTGAAAAACTGGCTTTGAGTTTACCTAAAGCACACGGTCAAGGCCAAAACTGATTCGGAAATCTCGCAGCTTCGTCAGGCAGCTGAACAAACATTTGCAAAATTTCGTATTCTACGATAGGTGCTGGATTTACGAGGTGAAGCATGTTCAGTGAAAGATGCGAATTAAAACTTACTGGACCGCTGGATTCATGAAGCTCGTATATGTTTTTGTTCATTATGTGATTTAAGGTTTGCATGCGTGCATTTTGTGCATATATTGTATTTGGCGGTTTTTTGAATAATTGTCATATTTATGGACAAATTACAGTTCCTAATATGGTCGATCACTCACGTCCAGAGCAACAATTCTGAATTTACTCTAGCCGCAACTACATCAATTTGGCAGACATTTCTCCTTGTGACAAATTTTATGTACGCCTTTTTACACGAAGAGTTCGGCAGATGACAGTTGGTAAATGTGGAGCTGTTCTTGACGTAGAACTATTAGGCACTCCTCTTGATTCGTATGCACATACATCAAGTGTTGCGCAAAAACACATTTGTCATAAAATTCAACGCCCTTAAACTACTGTGTTTACGACTGATCGGGTGGTTGATGTTGCAGTTCAGCATTTGCATCGTATTTGTCGCTTTCCTGAACACTTTGGTTTTTAGGCCACCAAAATCTTTGCGGCAGACGAGGACATCCAGGAAAGCCAGCTGGTTGTTACCCTCCTTCTCCATCGTAAATTGTCTGTCCGGGAAGACGGCGTTGAGATGTTCTTTGAATGTCAGCACCTGATCCCGCTCGATAACGACGAAGTTGTCATCCAGATAGCGAGCCCAGAATTTCGAACTGTGGTGTCGGTAAGCCAGCGAATGCAGCCGTTCTAGGACCGCCTCGGCTAAGAATCACAAAATCGGCGAACCCATTGGCGTTCCCTTCACTTGCTCGTAGATTTTTCCGTCGAAACTAAAGTACGTATCGCGACAGAACTTCAGGAGCTGGGGGATTTGGGCGTTTCCGAGGCGATTCTCCCTTCCGTCGTTTTTCTCTCGTAGGAGTTGTTCGATGGTCTCGAATGTCTGGTCGTGCGGGATAGAAGTAATAAGGGACGTGACATCAAAGGAAACCATGACATCGCTTGACAGGAGACTTACTCCTTTAAGTTTCTCCAGGAATTGCGTTGACGAGGTGACTATGGTGTTCGAATCGGAGGTCAGATTCTTGAGACGTTGGAACAGCCGCTTTGCCAATCCGTAGGTTGAAGTGCCCTTTAGTGATACGATAGGCCGGAGAGGAGTGCCCTCTTTGTTCACTTTTGGAAGAATGTAGAATCGCGCTAGGGCCGTTTCTAGTGCTCTCGCCATGCGTCGGTCGATTGGCAATATTGCACCTGATTTCCCCAATGCCAACAGCGTCGCGTTAATCTCGCGTGTCAGCGTTTTTATGGGATTGGATTCGCATGGGACATAGGACCGACGATCCTCCAACAAGCTTTCGGCTTTTTGATTGTAGACTGTCCTGTCCAATACGGCTGTTGAACGTCCCTTGTCCGCAGGCACGATAACGAGGTCGTTGTCGGCCCTGAGTTCCTTAAGTGCACCGCGCTCGACCTTGGAAAGCACGTCGCGTGGCCTATGAGCCATGAGAAGGGAGGACACTTGGTGTCGAATGAGGTTTTTCGTTTCGTCTGTCGCTCCCGTCTGGCAGAGGATTGATTCCACTGCTGCAATCATATTGGCAGGTTTGGCATCGGCTGTGTTGAATGAAGCCTCAGGATGTAAAAACTGTATTTGTTCCTCCGTCAGCTCCTTTGACAACACGTTGGGCACCAGTTTGTCGTTCGTGGATGACATTGGAGCAGGTAGCTTACGAAATTTGCTCTCTAGGGCTGCTTCGCGTGTTGCTTTATGTTTGCGGTTTGTTCGGCCAGCCTCTGCTGAAGCAGTTTTATGCCGTCCTTGCCCACGAACTCGCAGCACCTTGCTTTCACTTGGTCAATCCTCTGGTGGTATTTGCGAATCCGTGAGTTACAGTCTTGAAGGCGCACTCGGATCATTCGTCGGCCGTGCTGAAGTACTGCGCGTCTCGCCAGCTCTGTGCTGACCGGAGGTTTGTATGAAACACACTTCGGCAGCACACTGTTGTCGAGACATCTGTGCAGAAATCGAATCTGCGCAAATGTAGACGACTCTCGAAAGACAAAGGTTTCCCACCGTCGAGCCGATCGGAGAGCTTCGCGCCAAGAAAGATTGCTGATAGAAGCGAAGAGGCAAGTTCCAGGTATCAGTTCCGTAGACGAAGATGCGATCACTGGAACAAAAAATTTATTGGCCTGACGTTTCGGATTCTCACTCGAATCCATCATCAGAGACGTTCGCAGATAAATGTGATGGTGGCACAAAGAATGCAGTATTTATCGCAATTGGCTGCCGTGGGACCGCATGCGCACTGCGATTATCAGTTCTTGCAATCACCGCTGGGGTCGTAGTTGATGCGATGATGGCTTGTCAGTCCGAGTCCGAGTCGTTAATGGTCGTGATTTGGTCCTCCGCGCTGGATACTGGTGTGACGATTGTTTGGCGAATTGGCTCACTGTGACTGGACGAGAAGGATACGTAACTGCTTCAACAGAGAGTGACCGAACGATCCCGAGAACAGAGAGCGACAAGCAAAGTTGCGCTAGAGAAAAAATTTCGTAAGCTGCATGCTCCAACGTCATCCAGGAAAAACAAACCGGTGCACCACCGGTAGTCAAAGGAGCTGACGGAGGAACAAATGCATGTTTTAAGGCATGAGGCCTCATTAAGACAGCTGTTCCAAAACTTACAAAGATGATTGCAGCAGTGGAGTTAATCTTCAACTAGACTGAACCGACATACCGTCAATTTGGGTTCGGTTTGCGTCCGTCTGAATCGAAAGGGCTCCGGGTCGATAATCTGAAAACACTGATAGGCGATATGAATCAAGGGAATTCCATTGTTGACTTTTCGGGTAGCTTGGTCAGCTCCCAATTATCAAGGGCTTTAGTGCAAAAATCAATCAGAATTTCTTATGAAAGGTCGAATTTCTTGATCTTAGGCTGATCAACTTTTTCGTCTTTTACTGACTTTGCCCACTGTCTGTCCTTTGTGAATTTTGGTGGCATTCTGTTTTGTGTGTCATCACCTCATTTGGGCTCGGCTGCGTTTGTGCCCCACTTCTGAGGGAATTAGTCGACCGACCGTATTTGCTCGGTTTTATTCTTAAGCTCTGTGTGACTGATTTGTCCCGGTCATGGCGCATTTAGTGACGTGGGACTTTATAATCCACAGGAAGGTCTAGATGCACAGTTGTGCCTTTGGCATCTGAGTACCAAGACTCAGGTGTGAAACGTTCCGTCCTTGAGATGTCGCGGCCTAAGTCGGTTACTCCTTGAAAGACAAAGCTGTGACTAGTTTCTCAAATAAGAGTCGAAAGCTGTGAGTTCGGGTCTATTCTCTGAGTTAACAATTTTTGCTCATGTAGGCCAGTCAGCAATTTCCGTCCGGTTTCCTCAACGCCGTTGCAGTCTCCATCGGCACAACATATTTCACAGACGACTGCTGCGGTTCCAGTGGGTGGCAGCATGACTATGGGTTGAATCAAACGGCGAAGAAAAACCATCAATACCAGACAAATACGTCACTCCAAAAGCCTTCACGTTCTGCCTCACAAACACAGTTCTGTCCATGCTATTTAAAGTGCACTGCAGGATATTGGCTAGAAAATGTGTTAAACGACAACAACTTTATGACCTCGTTCGGCCAATGGATACGCATGCTACTTTATCAAGCAATTTGAGCACAGACTAAACAGGCGGCAGGGGGCTATGCCTTGCAGAAAAGTAGTCTCCAAGGCAGTTTCACCCCTGTTACAACCCGACAGGTTAGGCATTGCTCCTCGACACCGGGCAATTCCTCTTATTTGCCTTCCGCCTATCACGCCAACCGCTAGCTTCCACAGCCAATGCCAATCTCTGTTGCCTTTCAGCGTCAAGAAATGAAAAATAAAACCTGTAGCCGATCGAAAATGCCATGCCTGGTCGGGCATCGAGAAAACATCTGGGCGACGGAGATGTAGTACAGTTTACAGGCCATTTATCTTATATATTTAGTAACTATATACATTTTTGAACGAAAGTAAATCTTTTCGTGCCCTCTGAGTTTCACATTCCCCACACAGCCCTTCTGTGCACACGGATGCCCCCCAACACAGACAATGGCCCAATAAATGTGAAAAAACAAGTTTTATTGTAAAAAACAATAATCAGTAAATTTTACAATGATGCTCGGTTAATTACAGGGGTAAGTGAGTTGGCTTGGTTCTAATTGCAAAGGCATTATCCCTCGACGTGCGGCACTCCACAACATACAAACCGTCTCCACACATGACGTAGGCGTTGCACAGTGGACCTGCGTCTCCTATGGTCCAGCAGATTATTTGATTCTAAAATTGAGATTTGAAAATGCGATTGTGCTGGAGAACAACAAAAAGACTAAGGCAGATCATGAAGGACACTTGTATGACAGAAAAGGAATCATGAACGAACCTGCCGATGCGCAAGCGTTTCTCCACTGACCAACGTGCCGTTTCATTGCCCACTTCTCAGCCCTTGTTAGCTGCTGCAAATCGTCCTCTGAAGTTGAGGTCGCACCATACCCTTCAAGTTTGGCTGCTGTGTTGAGAAGCGTTCCTTCGGTTTTCATTTTCCTCTCTGATGCGTCCAGTACCTCGGAGAACAGTTGACAGTAGTGCATCGCATCCTGCTTCGACTTCGTCATCTCATTCGCCTCCTCGTCCCTTTTTACCTTCTCGTCAACATTTTGTCTCGTATCTTCCATTTTTTCTAATTCAACTCCATCTTTTTTCTCCACCACCATCCGCCCTACTTCCCCCTGCTCCTCGCTATCCGCCACCTCACGCTCTCTCTTCTCCAACTCCTCCTTCTTCCCCACTTCCTCTGCCTTTCCTTTCTCCTCCTTGGTTTCATCGCTGAGTCCGTCATGTGGCATCTTTTCAGCTTCATCCTGGTCTTCTTCATATTCTTCTTCCTCAACATCCTCATTCTCAAAATACTTCTGCTCTTCTTCTTCCTCCTGCTCTTTTGAAACTTCCTGAATAGTATAGAGTGTGGAAGTATATTTTCTTGTTTGTTTCACATTGTGTCCTAATTCAGAGGAAAACCATTATTCAATGTGTGCAAGTACTGCGTGGAAGATTTAATGCTGACTGCAGGAGATAGGCACACTCACTGCGTTTTGACTGCTGGGCGTCGATCTGTCCATGTGAGCCGGATTCAACCTCTCTCTCAGTATCTCTTGAAATCTTCACTTCACGGCCGACGGAACCAACATTTGTGCCTGTCGTTTTAATGTCTTCGACGACTGGACAATTTTCTGTCGGACAAACGTCGCAGCTGAAATAAAGAAATCATTTCCGAACAGACTCAATATTTCCCCAGCACTTCCTTCAAAAAACGATAAATACCGCTGGCGAGCTATGAACAGTGTTTACTTACCTTCTCTTGTGGTCGTGCGTGTGAGGATTCCATGTCGAAAATCCGTCCTGTATTTCATTGTGTTTCTTTGATACGCAAATATGATTGTATAATTTGAAGAATAAATTGTGTATCAGCAATAAACAGATCAACGTTGAACGTAAAACAAACAATGTAACTAGTGTGAAATTGATGCCTACAATGGAAGAGGAACATGCAGTCTGTTAAATGACTAATATTTCCACACGCAATGGATCTGCTCATAAGAATCTCAGATCTAAAGATTGGCAAATTGCGTGGGAAACATGAAAAGCATAAAAGTGTAAAGTACTTACCGCGTTTAAGGCAGGATATGAAATGCATAAGTGATTCGATTAATGGGTTGCATAAAAAACCGCAAACTATAATCACGATAAAAGGCGCCATCAGCAGATGTGCATAGAGCCCAGACATTCGCGCTATTGTCTGCTGTGCTGAGTGTGCCGCGTTTGAACGGCTGGCTGCTATCGATCGTGTCCAGGTCGAAGTTGAATGGCCAGCGTGTAAGTTCGGATATCTTACCAATCTGCCCAAGGGCAGAAGCTCAATTTTGAAACCATCTTCTGAGCCTAGGTTTGGCAATTTCCTCCTGACTCAGATTGATGTACATTTGCAAGCAGCAATCTGTTGCGTTAATATGTTTAAAATGAATTAATCACAGTGGTCTCACGCCTTTCCAGCCAGCAATTTTTATAGGGGAATGTACTTCTTCGCGTAAGAGCAAATGTGCTACGGTTGATGACTTGATCAATTCGAGATTACTATAGGGTAGGACTAAGTGCCTAATTCATGACATCCCATAATAGAGCCGGTGGGTGTTAATTGTGCATTCTCCATCGTTTATCTCCTGAATACTTCTTTATGTGGCGGCATATTTGGCAAAACTAAGCCTCATAAATTGGGACCCAAATGAATTATGGAATAAAGCCTTTTGTGAGTGCATGAAATATACATTTTCAGTCAAAAATTAGTAGAAATCCGTACTTTGAATTCGGTGGCACAGATGCTTTACACGATATTTGCATGTTCTAATTATCGTCTGGCAATTTTCGCAATTCCAAAATGGAATATTCGCCGCATGAGTCATTTCCTAATTCCCTTATTCACCTCTACCTTCCGTTTCCAAGGGGTTTTGAGATAGAGAGAGAGTGTGAGAGACGACTGCTCACATTTGAATGGAGAGACAGTCTGTCGCCTCTTCATTCGGGACAGTAACGCCGCGGATTGTCTCCGCAGTCAACGAGGCCGCTAGTGATCCAGTTCACGGCGATCTCCGGGCCGAATGCCGCCACAAAGACGGCTGTGGCGCGCTAAACATAAAAACACATATAATGAGAGCTGTGAGAATGACTTCCTAGTCTCAGATGATGGGTGCGTGAATAAACTATTCGAACACCAGTGAACACCTCTTTGCGCGAAGCGCTTGACGTTATTTAGTTCATTTCGCATGCCCCTGTTCTGCTATTTACACCGCACATACTGGTCCAACTAGACACAATGAAGATTGAGGCAGGCGAAACTGTCTTTGGACTTTGTTGGTATTTTGATGGATTGTGGCAGAATTAAGAGGCATACGAAGCTTCCTGACATACTACGGTAACGCCGCAGATCGTCTGCGCAGTCAACGAGGCCGGGAGTGATCCCGGTAACGACGAAATGCGGGTCGAATGCAGCCACGAAGACAGCTGTGCGCCATATGATGAGAGCTGTGAGCAGGATCTTCTAGTCTCTGAAGATGAGTGGGCGAATTAACTACTTAAAACGTCAGGCCTCCTGTAAACCTCCCTCGGTGAATGCCTCATCTCCTCATGGTACTGCAATGTGTTTAACCAAACAGATTATGCGGGTTTCAGTTTCTGTCGTGACGGTGCACGATTAACCTAAGTCAGCTTATGATGGAAAATTATCAAAACGACATGAATTACCGCTACCCGATGTAGAGAGGAGTCGCAGTACACCGTGCGAAACTCTTGCTGTCAGTCGGTACACTGGAAAATCCACCTCCGCCCCCCACCCGACACAATGGAGCCCGAAGCAGGCGAAATCGTCCTTCGAATTTGTCGGTCTTCTGTCTGTTGATGGACTGTGGCAGAATTAACAGGCCCACGCATGACCTATGCGCTGGAAGACAGAGAGTTCAAGACGGGAATAACGTCACGGAGCAATGTCACTCAAACGCCGACTTCGGCAATCACACCGACGGAGAAAGGAAAGGACGCATTGTTGGCGGAGAAAGAGGTGTGTGTATGTCACCGAGTTCGAGTACAACAACCCACGTGACCGGCCAGTCAGTGACTTCGTCCTACTCCATAAAAGACCGTTATACATTTCCGACACTTTTTCTGGGATCGTGGTCGGCGTATATTCCGTTCCGCATAACTGGGCTCCTATTCCATTAAAAGATATTTATCTATTTACCGAACAGTTAATGACATCGGTTTTAGCCAATCCCTGCGAGTTTATAGCATTTGTGTGAATTTAGGATCATTGACAGATACATCAATCACTTACCTATTCGACGTTTTATTTAAAACCCTTGGAATGTTTAAAAATGTTATTAGCTAGGCACGGGAATTTTAACCGGGCATTATGGATGGCTCGACTTCAGAATTTAGTCGAATGATTGAACAACTTTTAATCATTCTCGTTTTCCGAATTAGTTTACCTGGTTTCATGATGATATCACAGTCATGGACGACGCAAACAGTACCCCATCCATGCCGGATAGACAGAATTGTGATCAAATTCACAATGTGAATGCGTGTAACGGTCACAAGGGCTTTCGAATATTACAGACAATCATATATCCCCAGCCGTAAAAAATATGCTTGATTGCTTTGGAAGGAAACCGACCATTCTACAAAAGCGCGGGACAGGTATATTTGACGGTTGAACAATATTACTGAGTGAGTAATATAAGTCATTTATTCAGCAAATTTCTTTAGCTATAACAACGGAAAATGTGTGCAAATTTGGTAAATAACAATTCTTGGTCTAAAGTTAAATATGGAAATGAATTCACAGAACTTATGTTATAAAGTATTAGACCTCTGCCTATCAACCACACCAAAGCCAGGCTAATTGTCATCTTCCTAAAATGAAAAACTAAAGTAAGCCGATTGCAGGAATAGGATAATCACATTAAGTATAAAAATGGCCTAATAAACGTATTCATTGTTCAACTCTTCAACTCTTCAATAAACTGCTATGTCGTACATACGAGACTGATCTTAAAAAAGCCGGTCTAGGGGATGTCCTGAACTGTACATAATCTCGCATTACTACCTGCGGCAGATGCAAGAATGTCTACTCTGGTTAGCCCCTAGCGATGATCTTCCGCAACATACAATTTGCAAGTTTTACAGTCTTAGCAATTTTTAAAGCAATCAACATCAGAAGCCATACAGTTCCTTTTATAAACTGCAGGATAAACTCGTCCCTCAAATCAGGAGACCAAGAGGCATCTCAGATCAGTTGGCTAGAGCATTGACTGTACTAATGCACCTCCTCGCTGTCGTGGGTTCAAAAATCACCGAGATGCCGAGTTTTTCAGAGATGATCAATAAGAGATGAATTATTATCAAGAGTGACAATGACATCCCATACAGATTTTTGCTCAACCTCCAGGATAGACTCGCACTGTTAGCTAGAACATCGGACGGGGTGGAAACTCGCTCGAATGTTAATAACTGCGGGGCATCTATATGTCCCAATTCGATTGTCGCAACATTTGAATTCTGCAGCATATCAGGTCGGACTATAAGAATACTCGTAGTTCTCACTGTATTCTGCTTACTTCAACACCCGCGAATAAGATCGTGGTCATCAGATGAATGCGTTCGACATCTTAAAATCCCGTATTTCTGCAAAATTAGCCACAATGTATGCTCCTTCTCTAAGCCTGTTACTCGGAAGCTATTTACGGTCAAATATGGCGCGTTATGATTACTACTTACCGTGCTTTCTCCGCCATCCAGATTTCCTTTTTTCAGGGTGCCTGATCTAATTTACTTTGGCCTGTATGTTTTGTATCAAAGTGTCTATTTAATTGACGCTTCTTTGTAGTCAAACTCTCTCAGTCAAGGTTCTTGCCTTATTCGGTTAATCGTTAAGTGATTGTCAGCATACCATGAGAGACCGAGCGACTTTTAAAACGCCAACATTTCTGCTCGAAAATTGATATAAATAGATAAATCCTACACATTTATTTTTCATATTCTCCAAAAGAAAGATCAGGCACGCAATACATTTGATTAATGGGTATGTAAAACAAGAATTTTTGGGATGCAAAATTATCCAATATTAATTAGGCCGGCAGTTAAATGTCCAACCCATTAATTTCATGTTACGCCGCCTGACATCTCTACTGTCCTGTATGCGCCGTGGACGCATAATTAGTTCTGCGTGGTGATTCATGACGTTCCAAACATTATTACTTATAGGCTAACCTTGATGGTTACGAATATTTTGAAGAATTTGGTTGCTACGAAAGAATATTCAGAATAATCGTAATTTTCTTCGTGGGCTGTTGGCTAAACTGCCAAAAATAGAGAATTTTCGGCGTAGAAATTTTGAAATGTCTTTCGACAATTGATGAAGCTCCAAAGTAGTAGCCGTGTCACTCTTCACATTTACATACAACCCCAATTTTTTAATTTGTGGACTTCATAAAATTTACATGTAAGACGTCGGTAATGAACGGACATTTAAAAGCAGTAGGATCCCACAATTTCCAATGCCACTGTTCCCCATAATTTGTCTTCAGATAAACACAGAGGTTAAATCTTGGAGACCAGGTTTCTAAAATAGGGAATTTAATGTGCAAGTCTGAGGAGAATTCAACATGAGGAGAAATAGGAAGAAGAATAAGCAGAAGGAGAAGAAGAAGAAGAAGAAAAAAAAAAAGAAGAAAAAGACGACGACGACGACGAAAAAGAAAAATAAAAAGCAGAAGACGAATAAGAAGAAGAAGAAGAAGAAGAAGAAGAAGAAGAAGAAGAAAAAGCGGGGTCATTTGAACGGTGAGGAGGAATGGGAGGAAGACAGGAACTGGAAAACAGGAAGAGAAAAGAAAAAAATAGGGAAATGTGCAGGAGGAAGGGAAGGACGGGAAACAGGAGGAGGGAGTAGAAGAAGAAGAAGAAGAAGAAGAAGAAGAGGAACAGGGGATGTAGAAGTAATAGCGTTTGATGCAGCGGTTGCGGTTTCATATGGCGAACGTAAAAATTGCCCATGAAAGCAGTACGGGCTGCTAAAATGACTGGACACTCCATCTATGTCGCCGTAACTCTCTGTCATGACCACGTCCTCATAACCATCTGACACCCTACAGAATCCCATGAGTAAGATATTATCTAGTAACGAATTGGGAAGCTGTCTCATGTGAGTGTGATGCATCTAGAGGTGCCATCTGTAGCTCGACTCCGGCTCCACACCGGATGCGGACGGTGGATTAGGCGAGACATACAAGACTGTTATACATTTCCGACACACTTCCTGCGATCGTGGTCGGCGTATTCCGTCAAAGATAATTTAGTTCCTTTTCCTTTAAGGGATATTTCGCCTTCCTCCGAACAGGTTCCAGTTTCTGTCGCGAGAGTGCACAATCAACCTAACTCAGCATATGAGGACAAATTATAACAACGACGCATTGCAGTGCGCGAGGCGCTTGACGTCAAAGGAGACCACCAACATTCACAAACGACAGTCAGAGTGCCAAGACAGCTAAAGAAGAAAAACTTTGATCAGCTCAAGGCCAAGTAATTCGGCCGTTCATTCGAAATTCTGGTTGATTTTGCACTAAACGCCTTCATGCTCGGTGCTGAGACTTCGCCTAGGCGGAGTAATTAGTCACGCGGAAAGCGCTCACTGTTCCCAAAGCCAGGATCAATGGGTCAGATGGTCGAGCAATCATTACACCAACCTCCAACACACGTGATGAAGTTGCAGCAATTAACGACGCGAATGTCGACCATCGAACAGTCAGCACACCAAGTGCAACAATCCCTGATTAAGGGCGGGAGCGGTGAACATTCATCTGTATGCGGTAGCATGGCGGCTGCATCCTCCAAATACTGCAGGTCTTTGTGCATGCAGCACCCGTATCTGCTATTGTCTCTGATGATGGCCTTCAGCAGGAATCCGAAACGTCGGGTAGGTAAAACTCTTGTCCCAGCGATCGTGTCGCCTTCTTCACCAGGTTTGTGTCCTCAACAATACTGTTTGTCGGATGTTCATCTATTACGACCTCTGTTACTGCATATAGCTGTGGGCGCTCGGTTCATTGATGGCATTCCTATCCACCCCTGTGTACTCATAGTACGATCGTTTACGTTTCTGTAGGCATTTTAAACTTTCAAAGTAACATATTCGTCAACACACTTAGAAGGATATCGAGGTCTCACGAGCTTTGTCATTTACTGACCGCGGATTATGCGACCTTATAAAGCAAAAGTTGACTGACCTCTAGCAGCAAGTTATCTAATTCACTTAGACGTCACAGTGCGCTCCGAGAAACTGCAGATACTATTCGAAATAAATTTTTCTTACCGCTAGTGCTTTGAACGGTTTAACAGACTTAAAATTTACAATGAAAATCAGCGGGCCCACAGACTCTTTCGGTGAATAACTTCAGTCTTTCAGATTATCAAATCAGAACTCTTTACTTCACGAAAATAGTGGGCATGAATGTTTCAACGACTCGGGTTAGTGCGTGCGAAGAGGCCTTGTGTTCAAGCAGAAAGGTCTCTGTCTAATTCCTAAACTAGAAAGAGAGCGTGCAAGGATTTAAAAATTAAGGCGGCGTTTTTTTAATTAGGTCTTGGGCGCACCTTGTTGATTAGGCAACAAGTGCTCACCGCCCTCTCCAACTGACCAATCCGAGAAGATTAATGAGTTCTGTAAACAAGTCTAAGCGTGACCTTGCCCAGGTAGGCCACTTGCCTGGCATTATCGGTTGAAATGCCATTCGGGAGATAGGATTTGATGCTAGAAAACAGTAAACAGCGTGTGGTGCCACGGTTCTGCCTCTGTCGTAGGCACTTATGCTGACATGCACACAGTCACTGGCGCACGCACATCTTGACTACCTGAATTTTCAAGCCCCTGGAAGTCAACAGTGACTCCTTCTCGCCTCGCGAATGTAGTGCCGAATGCAGCACACTGTATAGTGATCACAGTGGGGCTAAAATGCCCTATCGCATGAAGGAATTGTCCCTAAAAAACAGTGGCTTAGACATTGGCGGTATTGCGACCAACAGTTTGATAAGTGCTATGGTGAGACAGTGTACCTGATCAACCCTCAAACGCTTTTGCCAAGGTTTGCATTGTCGAAGGGGTAAATTTACCTAAACCAACTTTAGGGAAGGCAAATTCTACTGTTTCATGTTACAAGGTGTTTGATGCGAAGAATGATACACAGTCGCTGGAGCACTTAAATCTGGACCCGGATGGCTGAGCACGCAGCGGCAATGAGGAGGAGGCACGCCAAGTCCCAAGTTCAGGCCCACTCGACGGTAACTTACCACAAATTCAAGTTTGACGGAGCAGAAGTTCTTGCTATTGGCGACAGCCGCGTGAGCCGCGGACTGCTCGATTCATGATTTTCTGGTTCTCGATCAATAAACAAGCGCATTGACCTCCCCTCTACATATTCGGTACCGAGACTTTGCCTCGGCATAATAGTTTGCCACGAGGAAGGCCTGTTTCTGCTGTCAATTTCAAAGATTTAAATTGCCTAAGAGTTCGTTCGGATGGCCAAATACGGCAGTCAACAACTCGAATGTATGCGATAAACATTTGAGCAGAAAAACGCAAAACAATCGCATGACAGCTGTATACTTCAACACTTGGTCAGTCGAATAGTGATGCACTCGGCCTAGCACAAACATCCTATACATACTGAGACACCTAGGCAATCCATTAACCTTCTCCGACGCTGTCTCTGTTGATGGATTTCAGTAAAAATACGATACGTCAGGCTTATACAGCTCTTGTTATGGCGATCATGTCTGCTTTTATACGACTACTTCTTGTCACTCAACGCTTCGCTTCTATTACAGAATCAACAGGCTATTTCGCATGGATTCGATTACAGTGACGTTTGCCAGTTACTGTTTGGCAGATCCTTTCCTAAAACTGAACAATCCACTTCAATTTTCACCAGAGAATTTGCTTCTATCGCAAACGTAGCACGGATTGCACGCCGAATTACGAGTCTTCTAACCTGACACTTAAATTTTATTGTAAGACTTAGAATTATTGTTAACAGAAACGAAAAAACAAAGGATGCGCCAACTAGACGGTCGTTCCTGATGTGTAGATCCTCTGACCTTCAGAGCGAACTTTCGACACTGGGTTGAATTCAACTTCAGGCCGACTGTAAGCTGTCCATTGCGTCAGTCCGTAACGATGAACTCTATTTCTACCTGTTTTTGGATCTACCATGGTTATTAACATTAAAACCAGCAATCCATGAAAAAAGTCACGCACGGTAGGCGAATTCACTCATAGATTACTCTCAGCCTTGGGACCGCAAGTATAGGACATCGGTACACACAAGACTGTGAAGCAAGGCTTTCTAGCAATTATAAATCAAAACGTTTGACTGACCATCGTAGAAAATACTGCGCGGATTGCAACCATCCGCACTTACTGTTTACGGCGGATCTAGTACCTTAAAGCTGCAAAACACTGCGATTTACCGAATAAGACTGGATCCTTGACTGAGACAGTCTGGTTACAACGAAGTCAAAATTAAAGGCGTCATCATAACGCAAGTAAACGTCAGTCGCTTAACGAAGGCACGATGGGAAAGTTGAACATAAATGTCACGAAGGCAGTTATTATAACGCACCATTGTTGACCTGAAATTTCTTCCGAGTAGCTGGCATAGTGCATGAGAAAGCCGTCTACATATGAGCAGCTTCGCTATCTGCAGAGGTGTCTCAAAATAACATGTGTTGTCGAAGTGTGTTTTATAGAAAACTCCGGTTGACACAGAGCCGGCGAGACGCGCAGTATTCAAGCAGGGCAGACGAATGATCCGATTGCTGCTTCAGGACTGTCAATCGGGCTTCGCAAATACCATCAGAAGATTGACCAGGAGAGTGAAAGTTGGTGTGAGTTCATGGGCTCCACCATCGATATTAACATTAAAACTACTATTACCTGTCAGAAGTCACATACGGTAGGCGAATTCACTCAAAGATTACTCTCAAAGTTGGGGCCGCAAGTACAGGGCATCGGTACACACATGACTAAGAAGCATGGCTTCCTTAAAAAATTATTAATAAAATCGTGTAACTGCCCAGCGTAGAAAATATTGTGCGAATTGCAACCATTCGCACTCATTGTTTCTGGCGGGTCTAGTGCTGTATTGCTATTTAATGCCAAATGGACAAAGTAGCATACTATTTGTTTAACTTGCATCCCTTTGTTATATGTGTATTCTACGTAGGATTTAAACGTCGGCTTCACATTTTGTGCAAATAAATCCCGTCTTTCAATTTTTGAACAAAATTGCCTGCAGTGTGTCCTCTTGCATATAAAAAAGTTGTTTGGCCAGCCGGCGAGTTTTAACTCGCGAAGAAGAAAGTTCCCGTAACACTGATCAATATCGTGCTCATCGAACTGCAGCAATATGAAAGTCAAGAGCTCGATTAACAAAGTGTAGGTCCGGCAAGTTGCATGCATATCTAATGCAAACAGGTGGGCTTAAACTGGGCCAAAAATCGATCGCTGTTGCTGCCATACTATATATCACTGACATGTGAAGTCTATTCATCCACAGATCGGAAACAAATTGTGACCAACAACAAAAGTATTAATCACCTATTTCTGACGGATACTTAGGTCAAGTAAGAACCAGTTTACACGCTTCCACACTGCCACCGTCAGAGATTTTCGGCATGAAAGTGCGTTCAATTTTTATGAAAGTCAGACGACTCATTTTAGCAATTATTCCTTAGACGCAAACGTCTCCTCTGGACATCGGAAAAACGCCAAAAAAGCCTCCGAGTATTCTGTGGGGTTTCAAAGCGCAAAAGCAGTAGTCACCTCAAAAAAAGGATGGAGAATCCCGTCCTCGTAGCATTAAGTAAATGCCTCCAAACTGTGCAGTTGCCAAGGTCCAGTTTACGTCCGCCAGAGGCAACAGTGACGCCTGGGACACGCGTTCACGCAATTCACTTCCCTCCGCATCGTCCTTCTTCTTCCCCTCATCCCCCTCTTCCTCATTCCCTTCCTCCTTCTCCGCCCCTCCTCTTCGCTTTCCTAACCCCACGTCACCTGAAGACTCTCCAAGTATTTTTTTATAATTCCTTCACTACTGAAGTCCTGCCCTTTAGTTTTTACAGAATTTTATTAATACAAAAAGGGACACGTTACCTAACGCTGCAAAGCCTCACTGTGGGATCAATTAGTCTGTAAACCCGCAAATAGTCGTGACTATTGCTTTTGACTGACGTCTTTTCCTGAAAATTATTCTGAAAGTCTTAACCTAAAAATGCCTTATTTTAGACAGTTCAGTCAAGGCCCACGGAATAAACAGCGACTGTTCTTATTTTTCCGCAAATTAAATGACTGGCAAATTTGTGACACTACACGATTTTGCCAGATATCCCAAAAGCGGAAAGGCCGCCCTGTAATTAAAAATGTTTGGGACTCGTTGAAAGAAAAGGTACAAGAAATTATGCAAAAATGTTTTCGGCACATATAGGCCTAAACGATTGCATACGGAGAAGCAGAAATCTAAGGTGTTTGGCAGTTATCAGTCAGCTTAATTAATAGTCGAGTATATTCCTTTGGTAATATAAGTCATGGGGGGAAAGTATTGTTCTACACACGTATTACTCAAATGTTTTGCGTGACCAATGTCTGTCTGGAAAAAATATTGAATAATATGAACGATTTGTCCGTTAATCGCATTTTCTGAGCAAGAATCGTTGTAGTTATTGCAGGTTGTTCAGTCGCCCACCGTATGATGCAAAGCACTTGGCGATTTACTGAAAAAGCCAGGAGCTTTGACTGAGACAGTTTGGCTACAACGAGGCAATAATTACAGTTGGTGGGCTAACTCATGAAATGCCAGCCGACATTTTAAACTGCGTTTTCGTTTCGAAAAAAATTATATTATAGGGGTGTAAAAACTAATCAGTGTGCAGTATAAATCTATAATAATTCAGTTACTAAGGGATGTCGGCAATCGAAAAAACGTCCTTTCGGCTGCATGCAAAAACTATACTACGTCAAAAATGACTACTTAAGCAGCGTGTATTTTTCCATTGATTTTCGGTGCCTCTTAGAGTCTTAATATCTTGCATACAAAGCACGCATAGAAATATTCCTTCTTCCGCTCATTTGATAGACATTTACGTTTTCGTCCAATTTTATACTCCAAGGAAGGTTATTATTAGGTTTTCAAATGTTTTCGATTCCCGAGTAATTTTGAGGCAAAAATCATTATTCGTTTCATATAATTCAACTAATGTAGTTAAAGTCACTGGGAAGATTTTACTTCACCCGTGGCCGATGTGGATGACAGGCGGGATCGTTATACTTTTGTAGGAATCATAACCGACAGATCATGATTAATCCTAAACTCTAACTATGATGCTATGCTTTATGACGTTTTTTCAAACCGCATTTTCACGCATGAGTACTAATTCAAAAATTGGCTTAACAGCAAGTTAAGAATAATGTTTCATTCAAGTGTCCAGGCCGTTTATCTACCAATCGCTTGCCGACGCCTCACAGGTCCGACGACCCCACGAATTTTTCTTCACCGATAGCCACCCGTTGTTGGGGGTGGCGTGAATTTGTATCAAGAAGTAATTATTCGCTTACAACCTCTGCGCTCCCTGACCTCTGTCCTTGTCGCATCCAGTCTTAATAATAACAAAGCTGTCATCTAATAAAAATAAAAAAATGAATCCAATCGGTCTTGTTGACCCGTCCGTTACTCACAGAGCTCACGCCCGCCTTCCGTCCAAATTTGTCCAAATGGAAAGGCGGAAAGCTACGCGACATAATAAATCATTCAGGCCCATCTGCCTGATAGTAAACGCCTTCTGGTAGACTGGAAATGTTGTTTTTAATTTACGTACTGTGCTACTCCTTAGACGAACGTAAACCCCCCCCCGTTCGGAATTAGCTGTTCTGCTCCTGGGATGAAGTTAAGCTGGTATTTGGAGAATAGAAAAACTAAGGTTGTGCGCGTCCCGGTAGCAACACGCATAACGCATCTTCCTTTTTAACAAAAAGTGTTCTGGACTTTTTCCGGCTGACAATCTTCTACAGTGTAACTGACGGGATGTTTAAATTCCCTGATATTTTTGACAATTTGTGGCATATGAGCTATTCATCTTGAGAGCACATTACAGTAAAAAGTCATCGATGAGTAAATTGACTGCACGCACTGTTAACAATTCGCTTCCTTGCAACAAATATGGAGTTCAGGGTCTCAATACCTATGTTCGCCTCAAATAACCTGAAACTGAAACGGCATTGGACGCATCCGCAGGTACGCGCTGGATGTTTAAAGCGCAGACTACCTTTGGCCTTTGACAAGAGAACTGTTAAATTTACCAAAATTACTTAGCATACACTCTTTGAGCCAACTAATTTAGGATCGGTTATTTGTAATGATTTCAGTTGTAAAAAACGATAGCAATTATAGACGCCACTTTGAAAGCAACTAACCATACCTCAGGTGAGTGATCTAAGGTACAAACTTGACTGCATCATACATCGTCGATTGAAGAGCTGTGCGTCTGTTTTAAAAGGTTACTTCTGCGGTTGTGTGAATTCTCTAATAAGATTTAAAGGAAGAAGATTTATATAGGCTTTTTAGGAAACCAGGTCCAAATCTTACTTTGCGAAAACGAATATCTTGTGACTTAATTTACAAAAAACATGATATGCACACCTTAACTTACCCGTATATTTCTTAATTCGTTTAAGAGTGTTCGATTTTGTTGAAGTAAAATTGTATACATATGCATACAGAAAACGGGCGTCCCAAAGAAATGTAATTAAAAAATGAGAAAGGTTCTTTGGAAACAAAAAAAATTTAATGCGTAACTTTCCGAGACTGGCTCCCCAGCTCNATCTACGGCACTCTCTCTTCCCAACTGCCCACGTAGGCTCAATCCCAAGGCAGAGTCAAGTAAACCGGAGGCGGGGAGAGCGCAGGTCGATGGCATGGTCGAGCCCGTTCCCTGGCGATCCGCCCCACACCCCCTAGCCCACACAGCAAATGACCAGGAGTTGAACTAGCAATAACAAAACCACAACAGGGGTCAGAAGGACGAGGATGAGTGGGCAGCCACGCTCACGACCTGCACACCCAGCGGAAACGCGAGCGTATCTACCGCCACGGAACCAGGCTTCGGAGACCTGCCAGCGCATACCAGAGTGCGAGGGCCGTGGCTTGCCGATCCTGGCATATCACACGCTTCCAAACCTTTAGGCTCTGAAGGGTGACGGATAGCCCTGCATTAGCCTGGACTTTTGGCAGAACCATTCCGCGTAAATCCCCAGGAAAGTACGTAATAAATTCATACAGCAACATAACGGAGATCAACCTCTACTGATAGAGAACAGCAATGTCTACTGAGAAAGTTTCTATGCACACAGCATCGCATTTCTGCGTTTATGCATATTACTTATAGTCCGCAATGATGACAAAATTTCATGTAAAAAATTCAACTAGTCATATAGTAACTCTTTACAAGGCTTTGGGTTTTTCAGACAGCCGGAAAACGGACTAATCCAAAATTTCGCGTCCAGTTGTAACTAAAATATCCAGACAACATGCTGGCAAATATTTCTTTTTTCAACTGCACCTGAGTAACTCTTTACGCTTGGAACTACATCTCAGAATACTCGCTGTCTTCGACAGGACGACCACCTGCATTTGCCTAAAACGCAATCTGGATCCGTTCTCTTCACTGGCTTCTGGTTAAATAACGATTGTCAGTCGCTTAACAGGAAGTACTTATTTCTGGCCAGTTTTACCTCTCAGACACTATGCAACTGGTTGCACTAGTTTACGGCGTGAATTGTCCAGTCCCAGGAAAAAAAGACCGCTTTCTCGACAAGTAAACAACGTCGGCAAATCGGGTAATTGGGTGCTCTCACGTGGCTGCAAAAGCAGTCAGGCGCAACTTGCCCCAAGTGTGGATGAGGCCTGGATAGCAGGAGGAAACCGTAAAACCAGACAGGACCATTAAGCGTTTTGTTAATCCGGTGGTACTGAGGCGTAGACCATACGCCAAGACCTAAAGGCAGTAGTTGTTTTTTTCTAAATCAGGCCTGAAAAAAGAAATTTACGTCTATGTATGATTACAGCGCTGATAAATCAAAAACGCAACCGGATAAAAACTTGATTTTAGTTCTTGTTTTGGAGTCGCTTCGCGGTCACGAACTTTTGAGCAAAATATTGTATATAAAGTGCGCAGCATTTACCGTATTAGGAATGAAAGAGAATATGCGCAGGCGAAGGCACGATCACTGGGGCAGTAGGTTTATTTGCCTGAGCTTTCGAACTCGAACTAGAGTTCATCATCAGAGGCTACTCGAGTGCAGCAAATTGTGAACATTTATATCGTTCATCCTTGCCGGGGGGGAGGGGAGAGGGAGTACGACCGTGGCTAGGTAGGGTTTGTGTCGCCTGGTCCACGATGTTCTCCCGGCGTGGAGATGCCGTTCGTACTTTGCGACGGTGTGAGCTGAGCCACCTGGCTGCGTGGGCGGAGCAACCACCCATTGGTACACAAACGGGGCTGTGTGAGGGCGATTTATGACCGGGTAAAAACGCACTTTAGCGAGCCCAAAGGAAGGACGCAAGAACTACGGCATCTCCGGGACCAATTAACAAAGAGTGGCTACCCAAATAGTTTTATCAGTCGCTGCATACGCGCACACCCAAGCCGGACAAACGAAAGAGCGACACCAACAATTTGGCACTCCCTACCGTACATAAAGAATGTGTCCGACGCTACAGAACGCATCGCGTCAGAGCTTGGCATGGGCATCGCTCATCATCCGCCGGCCATCATGCGTAGCAGTATCATGAAAATGAAGGATCGGCTGAACGCAGGTGAACAGTCGGGCGTAGTCTATCGAATCCCGTGCCAAAACTGTCCTTGCCATTACACAGGCCAGACAGGACGACGTCTCAGCTCACGAATACTTGAGCACAAACGGGCCGTTCGGAGAGGCGACACACTGTTTCAAGTAGCCACTCACACGCTCGAGGAAGGGCATGAGTTCGACTTCGCCAACACGCGGATATTGGCGCGAGCCGGCAACAAGACAGGGCGAGAGCTGTTGGAGGCGTGGGTGTCGGACACCAACTCTATCAACAGACACATCGATTTGCCTGCGTGTTATCACGCGCTCCGCCCACGCAGCCAGGTGGCGCAGCTCACATCGTCGCGAAGTACAAACGGCGTCACCACGCCGGGGGAACATTGTGGACCAGGCGACACAAACCCTACCTAGCCACGGACGTACTCCCCCTCCCCTCCCCCCCGGCAAGGATGAACGATATAAACGTTCACAATTTGCTGCACTCAAGTAGCCTCTGATGATGAACTCTAGTCTGAGTTCGAAAGCTCAGGCAAATAAACCTACTGTCCCAGTGATTTTCCGTTTCATTCATCTATAGGAGAACATGCGTCCCAGCCGAACCGTCTCTAATCTTTTGATCTTTCGAGAAACTTGAGGGAAGGTATTGTGCAACAGCAGCCATGCAAAGATAGTTTAATTGAAAAAAATGCATAAACAACCCTGTGAAAAAGCACTTGCAGCTTTGAAAGTGTCTACAAAGGTTTCGTTCAACGTTAAATGGGTGGGTGAGCGTAAAAATTGTCAAAGTCAAAAATGAACAAAAGCGCCAATGGGCTTAACAGAACAATGCTTCAGCCTGATTTTGACACATTTTTCATTCAGAAACAGAAGATGCAATCAATGGGACATGAGTGGTTATTGGCTAATAAATTTTTCGTCCCACTGACCGTGACTTTTTCTACTGAAATGCTCCCTGAAACTCGCCTGCTTGCGTCTACTGGTAAATATTTATTTGAAACTTTCTTCTAATTTGTGGTCCCATGAATGCATAGGAGAAGACGACTAAACGCACTAAGAAAGCACTTTTAAGTAATTAATGTCTCTATGTCAAACCTACCACGACAATTTATGCGGATTGGGAGTTAGGCAGCACTCTATTAAACTCAGATAATAGAACAGTAGGCACACAAATAGGTTACTTTACTGTATTGTACGAAGTTCACTAACCATATATAGAATGGTCTGCATTGGCCGTTTCGGCCAGGTAATATAATAAGGTTAAGCATTACACGACTACTTCAATGCATTCATTCGCAAGAAAAAAACCCGACCGCCAAATGAAGTGCTTTTATTTGCTGGATTTTTGGGTTACCTCGCGAAACCGCGACAATTATTGCGGCCCACTCTCAAAGTCGTAGGCGCGGCTGCTTACTCATGATTCCCCCCGCCGTCCGTTCAGAACACACGTCAATTAATGGCTACGCACGTGCAACTCAGCCATTTTCTGTTCGTGGACCGTGGTTTAGACAACTGCGAAAATGGCGGCATGTGGATAAATGGGTTTCCCTTCTCGAAGAAATATTGACCTTGCAGAACATAAAGATGGGGCCGGACCCTTCAGATGATTCTCAACTTCCGATTTTATGTCATTCTTCCTCGGCGATTCGTGCTCGAGCATCCGTGCTCCACAATATTCCTGAATGTTTATCAAATGTAAGGGAGCTACGACATCCTTGGTACGAACGTGTGCGCTGGCACGTTTGACAGGTAACCCTTGAAAATCCGTAATTACATGGAGCTTGCATCCCCCAAGTTCTGCGAGTTATATGAGCTCGCTATCGTTTCTCTGTCGTTTACGATGATGAATTCACATATGAATCCGCGGCTTCATGCAAGCGAAAATTCCTCCACGAGTGATTACGTTTTCGTCAACCCGTTTGTTTATGTTACTCGCGTTTTCCCCTGTGTAGGCAAACATGTTCGCCCAAGTGACCAATCTAGTTACATTAAGCTGGTATAACAAACTCATTTTAGTTGATTTTGGAACAATCCTTCTGAAGTCCACCTCGTCTCACGCAGGATGAAAGACCAAAACAATGGCAACTAAAAACTCAGCAGTTAATTTAAAAGTGGGTAGCAAATTTGAATCGGTGAAGTTAGCCACAACAGCTGAAGGTTTAACCCGTATGAGCCAATCCAAAATTAATGCTAGTATCGGGATGCCGACCGAACAGTGGCCTCTGCGGTTGTGTACTTTGAAGTTTAGTTTTTGGCGCTGTCCGCTGCCAATAGACATTATTCCAATTTTACATGGAAATGAGGTTCATCGTGGCTTGGCTTAATTCCAAACTTATGTGATACCTTCCAATTCTCGAACGGAAGATCGTATTAGAGTCTACAATCAAGTCATATCGGGAAATATTCACTACTCGGTAGGTTGGGATTAAGATGCCCAAATCAGTTATGTAAGTGACATTTAATGGCACAGTCTACACTCCTTCTGGGAGATAACAAGGAGTTGGAAATTTGATGGTAACAACTGTTCAACCAAACCAAAAGCCAGCCGTCGATACTACGTTTGCCGGAGTGAGATGTGACCGCACACCTCTGTCACGTAGGAGTAGAGCCAGTCACTAAAGGGGAAAATATCGATTAACGCAGCGAAGTCGTCCCGAGGCACATGGAACGCAAGAGCTCTGACAGAAACTGGACTTAATCCCTCTAACTAAGGGGAGTTGTCTGCCTAGGTATGGTCCTCAGGAAACAAAAATACAGTGAGTGACCTATCTCATGAAACGTTGACTGAAATTTTGAAACGTGTTTTCGATTAGGAGGGATAAGTTAGGCGCGGTTGTAATACTAATTATCGTGCGGCATAATCATATAGTATTTCGGACTCGGTAGGATGTCGGCTTTTGAAAACCCACTGCTTTTTAAGCTCCTGCAGAAAGCGTACTCGGTAAAAAATGACTACTTAAGTCGAAGGATTTTTTCATTGATTTTCGATAGTCTTGCAAATTCAAATATGTCTTATAGAAACCATTAACAAAAGCACGCTTTCTTTCAGGAAATTAATACAGAATCACGTCTTCATTATGTTTTTTATTCAAGGAAGGAGTATAATAAGGTTTTAAAAAAGTTTCTAATTATGAATTTTTTTAAGACCGCGCAATGTCCATTCACATAGCATCGTACCTGGCTGTTTATGACAGTTCCTTGTGACATTTACAAGAAAGTCCGGATCCTTTGGAAAATCTTATAAGCTCTATGTGATATCTTCCTAGACGCATAGAGGAATATGTTATTTTCCTTACGTAGAAAGCATGCACCTTGTAAGCTTAAATCTCTAAACGCTAATGCAATGGCAAAGTAGGCACAAAATTATTCGGGATTTGGAAAACCTTTTTAAAACCTAATTCTACTCCTTCCTTGAATAAAAAATATAACGAAGACGTTATTCTGCATTAACTAACTGAAAGAAAGTGTGCTTTTGTTTATGGTTTCTATAAGATATATTTGAATTTGCAAGACTATCGAAAATCAATGAAAAAATGCATGCTACCTAAGTAGTCATTTTTTACCGACTACGTTTTCTGCAGGAGATTATACAGCAGAGTGTTCAAAAGCCGACATCCTGCCGAGTCCGAAACACTATACGATTATGCCGCAAGATAATCGGTACTACAACCGCGCCTGATTAATCCTTCCTAATCGAAAACATGTTTCAGAATTTCAGTCAGCATTTCATGAGATAGGTCACTCACTGTATGTTTGACATCCGTGAGGCAAATCATGCTGGCAGACGACGCTTAGCATTGGCGTGTAAGCTCCTCAGCTGGTATTTAATCAGTAGTGTACTGGTTGAAAAGACGTCGACACGAGTAATACGTAGGGGAGCGCATTATCCTCTCACAGTATTTGTTTGCAGCAGCTATATTAAATATTATATTAGATGTCATATTATATGAGATATTTGTTTTAGAATTCGATTCCAGATGCCGTTGCCGCTGCTGTGACCTCATTTGTGACGTAACATCTTGACGTTAGTCTTCGACCGAACATTTGATCAGTGTTAGCCAACATTTCCGTCACTTACTTTTATGATCTGCCAGCATCAATCAATTCATGAATTGTCACTGCATAGAGTAATCGAGCATAAATTAATAGCAGATATAGCAATTTTCACTTTTATTTCATTTTCGCTGGAATATATCAGGTGCACAAAAAGGTGGCATACATTTCCAGTTTTTACGCAAACATATGAGCATTTCGGAATAAAACGGTTCATACTACGCATGCCCCAGGGAGATCTACCGTTGTATCATTTTGAGCAACTATTGCATTCCCCAAGTCAAAAATCCGCTAAAACACAATTTGTATAAACCAAGGATTTGCCCCAACTTTGTACATTAATTTCCGCGAAAACTAAACAAGCCCACGTGAAGCTGGAGTACATATGTCAGAAAACACATGGGAGATGCTGGGGGACACACTGATGAGCCGAACTGTTCGCAGCTGCGTCAGGCAGCAGCTCCAAACTGGCGAAGCACGCGTGTCTGGGCTTCTAGTTAGTACCTGCGTTGTCAGTACGCTTAATAATCCAAACGTTTATACTACTGGCTGCCTGTTAGTAGTTGGTGAATATTACGTGGTCATGCCGCAGTAGCTGATGGAATTCGGCCCAAGTATTCATACCAACTTTCGGACCGTGTCTGCAAAGGTCGATTCCGAAACATTAACGCTAAGTTTGCGCATTAAATTTCTCGGAAATTAAAAAAGCTCCGTGCTCACACGAAAATCCGGAGTTATAGCTAATTGAGCCAAGGTTTGCAAAAACCAAGTGAAAAAATCGCCTCTCGCACAAATGTCACCTCTCACGAGAACTTTGGTCTCCTGGGACTCGAATACAATAGGTGTGCTAACTCATAAAATTTTAATGGAAATATTGAAATGGGTTTTCATTTCACAAACACTACTTAAGAAGGGCTGTAAAATAATCATCTTGAAGGATAATTATATAATAATTCAGTTACCACGGGATGCCGGCTTTCGAATAAACTTTTTTTCGGCCGCACGCAAAAACCATACTCCGTAAAAAAATGCCTACTTAAGTAGCATGCATTTTTTATTGACTGTCGGTGTTCCTAAACATATAATTAAATTTCATGGAAAGCATCCGAAAAAATACTTATTCTTTGCCTGTTTGATTTAAAAGCCTATTAACTTGCAATTTGATATTCGGCAAAACGGCAATGTTTGGTTTTCGAGAATTATTTCAATTCCCGAAAGATTTTGAATCCTACTGGCCGTCACACTTGCATTCAAGGTTTTCATATTACAAGCCACATTTATTACAGAAAACCGTGCATTTTTCTACGGTACTAAGAGTAGACTATGCAAATTCATAACATTTAGCAGTAGAAAGGAGCTATATTGTAAACTTTACAAGTCACATTGGTAAAGGCGGAGACATAAGCTTTTATGAACGTCCATTTCACGGTACTAAAAAATCTCATAATTAGAAACTTTTTTAAAACCGGGTTGCACTTTTCCATCGAGTAAAAAATTTGAAGAAGGCCTAACTTTCAACGGAATGAACAGGAGAATTAACACGTTTATGCATGTTTTCCATGAAAGATAGTTAAGTTTTAAGGGTATAGAAAATCAGTCAGAAAATTCATGCTACTTAAGTAGCTTGGAGA